TACTACAAATTATCATCTTCTCTTATTCATTGCTTTTGCAACACAAACAAAAAAATGATTTCTAAAATGTGGTCCTAAAAATACTTGTCTTCATCTTTTTTTTAATTAATTAATTTTATTGGTACATTTAGGGTAATAACATTCATCATTGGGAATTTGCACCTTTACATAATGCATCTTGGTTCTTATTTTTTCCCCATTCCCTGCCCTCCCTTCAACCCCTCCACCCCTCCCTATCTACAAAGACTTTGTTTCCATTTTTTTTCTCATGTTAACCATTCCCATCTTTCTTTTCCCCTACCCCTCCCATTTCATCTTTTACGATAATACTTATTATAAAAATATTTATTTATATGCCTGTCTCCTCTAATCTGAGTCACTGGCAGCAGAGAGTATATCTTAATTTTATGTTTCTAATGTTTAACATAACACCTCATATATACAGAGTATTTAAAAAGGAATGAATGTGCTACTGAGCATGATGGCACGCACCAATAATCTCAGCACTCGGGAGGCTGAGGCAGGAGGAAGGCTGTGAGTTTGAAGTCAGTGAATTCGAGGTCAGCATGAACTACGTAAGAAGGCCCTATCTCAAAAAAGAAAAACAAAACAAAACAAAGAATTAGTGAAATTTATTACCAGCTTTTGATTTGTTTTAACTAAAAAGAAACAGGAAAGACATGGATAATCCAACATTCTAAATTTGACTTTAAATCTGTGTGAAAGATTTAAACTGACATTTCAAACAGGCACTTGGGGCATTGGATGCATTGTGGAGGAAAAATTAAAACCATAACTGTAAAGCTATGTGATAAATAAAAAAGTGCAAAGGAAAAGAGTGGGGAGATTGTGGGCCTTCTAGATCATCGTGAAGTCATTGACTATTTTTATATAAAGACATGAACTTTTTGAAAGAAACCGGCGCCTGCCAAAGATCAGGGACAGAGCTCCTATGAGAGATTTTATTGTAGCGCGCTGCAGGTCGGTGGCCGGCGGGGTGGAGAGGGAACAAAGGAGAGAGGGGAAGGAGGGGAAGGGGCTTGGTTATATAGTGGGTGCTTGGTGCAGGCGGTTGGGATCCTGCAGCCACGCAGGGGCCATTCTTGGACGTCCATTCCTTATACGGACAAGCCTTGTTCCCACGCCCGTTTTTATTTATGACCGGTGAGGTGTGATGTAGGAAATGGAAACTTTAAGGTGAGGAAGGAAGTTATTTATCAGAATGGCAGCAGCCACAGTTCCAAGGCACTTATCTTACATTCCTCCCTTTTTTGTTTGTTATGGCCTCTGGGAAGAGGGGCAAAGAATCTCTCTTTTGTAGCTGCTTCTTGCTGAAAAGGGGCAGGTGTGGGGTGATGAGAGGCTGAGGGAGAGATTTGTAGTCTGTCATCTCTTACCCTTGTGGGGGCGACAGCTGTTGGAGGGCTGCTTGTGTAGGAGCTTCAAGGAGGGCAATGATGGCAAGATTGTGGAGTGCTGGGGCTGATCTAGGTGTGTATAGTAGCTGGAGGGGTAGCACAACCATGGAGAGGGGGCCTGAAATGGCGAAGAAAGAATTAAGATGTATTTTGAAAGCTTTATATGTAACAGGTGGAAAGGGCTTTTTTTTTTGAGACAGGTTCTCACTATGTAGTTGAGACTGATCTGGATCTCACTATGTAGCCCAGGCTGGTCTCTAACTCAAAGCGATTCTCCTGCCCCTGCCTCCCGAGTGCTGGGATTGCAGGCATGCGCCATCACGCCTGGAAAGGGCTTTTTTTGACAGTAATCAAAAATAATAGTACTGCCAAGGAGTTAAATGTATAATTCTTCTCATAATTGGGAGCATGTGTAACTGGGGAGGTGACTGGATGGCAAAGCAGATGGACCAAAAATCTAGTGTGGAAGTTGGGTGGAAACCAGACATTTAAATTCCCAAGTGCCAGTTGGGGACCACAACTCCTTTTTGTGGGAACTGCAGTATCCTGAGAGTAGAATTAAATTGCCTTATCTCTGCCATGATACTCAGCGCAGAAAGGGCAGTCTTTGGGTGAGTATGACAAGTGGCAGATCAGGTCTTTTTGAGTAGGTGACAGGTATCGTTGTGAGATGTATAAAAAGAATTGTGTGTCCCACATTTGGGGATGGGAGAGTTTTGGGGCCATTGGAAGGTTTAAATCTGATGGCTCAACTCATAGCTGTGGGGGTGGGAGCATAAACCAGCAGATAAGAAGAGATAGAAAGCAATTTTCTCAACTAAAATCTTGGAGGGTTTTCTTTCAACCAATCTAAGATCTCATTTACTTATCTTTATTGAGGATAGAACCAGTGAAGGTCTTTTAGCTAAGTTATGAAGTGAAGAAATTGCAGCTGGATCTGGATTTACATCATGGGGCTTTATCCAGAAGTTGGCTGGTGAAGTTTTCACTTCCTGTGAAAAGCTGATTGACCGTCTGATTAGAAACTTTTTGGATTTGATTTTGGAGGAATTGGAGTAAGCAGAGGGTGACTGTGGCCAGAATGAGGATGTAAACAAGGGTCAAGAACAGAGATTATTTATGGTGTCTAGTGACATCGGAGATACAAGAATAGCTCTGTTGCTTGATGACGCAGAAATGTATTGTCAATTTTTATGTGGAATTTTACATTTTAAAAGTGTTTATGGAAGAAAACTTTATTTTCATAAGCTATTAGGATACCTGGAATGTGAAATTTTATTGCTATTGTTCTGTTTAGGAAGAAGCTTAAGCACACAGTTAATAGGACTTTCACAGGGTTTCATAGGATCTGGCAGTATAATCAGCTTTCTTGACTTCCTGTTCAGGGCTTCTAATCTACCTGATCTCCCTAACAATAGCTGTGTATTGCTCAAAATATTTTCTAAACTTAGTGTCAGAATATGTAAAATATGCAGAGGACTTTGAAAGCAGTTAAGAGTCAATATGTAGTGATTCTTTTGTAACTTCACATTTGGAATGGACAAAGAAAATAAATTAAAAGTCTTATTGAATTCCAAGGCCCCAAATAGAAGACAGTAAAAATGAGAGTACATAATATTAGAGTCTGTATGCAAAATTGTTACAATACTTAAACTTTAAATGAGCAGAGGTAGAAAATTGGTATTATTGCAGAGATGTTTTCAATTAAAATGAAGTTAACTCTGATTTTTTAAAAAAGGTAAGTTTGATTAATTACTGTATCAGATTTTACAGAAGACCTTTTAATAACTTAGTTCAATTTAAAACGAGGCAGAAATTAGTTAAGAAACTATTTTCCTCTTGTATTTATTCTATATATATGGTACATAAAACAAGATTAAATATTATCTTGACATATTTCATTGCATTACTAGGCATCCTTAAGAATGAATAAGGTGTTTTATCCTTTTGGTTTCCATTACAATTTTTTTCAAGTTCTTCACAGATGCATTTCATTCTTCCCTGTTAAAGAATTTTTGAGAGCTAGATCTTTAGATAAAGCTGTACAGTAGAATTGGGATTTGAAAGTTAGAATTTGAAAGAACAGGACTTAAATAGATAAGGACAAATGTTTCCAGTAATAGGGGACATTATCCCTGACAGGACTACTTGGAACAATAAGAATGGTTCATGTAGAAAAGAAAATGAAGTAAGAGTAGTGTAAGTAGGGCTTGATTACTGAAGGTGTTGAAAAACAAGGGAAATAGGTGGACAGTGTCTTGGTCCATTTTGTGTTAGTCTAACAAATTTGCTGATTCTGGGAAATATGTAAAGAAATGAGGCATATTTGACTCACAGTTTTTGTGGCTGAAAGATCTAATTTGGTAGGGGCCCAGTGGCTTCTTCACAGAGTAGACAGCAACAAACAGTAGGAGTATCTGTGCACGCACGTGTGTGTGTGTGTGTGTGTGTGTGAGAGAGAGAGAGAGAGAGAGAGAAGGAGGGAGGGAAGGAAGTATTGCAGATAGGTAAGTTAATTAGATTCCTTCTAGGCAGTTAGACAGGGCTGCCCTCAAGGAGCCAGCATAGTGAAAGGAGAGAGACTACTGTACCTTTGTGCCTTCCCTGAGGATACATAGCAGTGATTGATAGTCTAAAGAGGTATCCATCACCTGGATAGGGGGCCAAGGTCTTTAACCCTGCCTTTCCAGGAAAAATCCCTGACCCCCCCAGCCTTACTGAAAATCCTTATAGCCTTGCTACATGACTTGCTCCCCCATTTGACCCGAATTCAATCAATATTACCTGGGTGACTGTACTTGCAGTCTTATTGGTTGGTCATGCTTTTGTCCCTCCTCATGCCCATCTTGTAATTTTCCACTGGGTCTTAAAGTTTTGTCCCACTTTGTACCTGCCTCACCCCATGGCTTTTGCTGTATAAAACATCTTTGAAAATTGGGATGAGTGGGCAACCCACTTTCTGGTCCCCCTTCTGTCTCTTAGACAGAAGCTTTCTTTCCCTCAATAAATTTTTCCTATTCAACCTCTGTTGTTCATAGAATTCATTCTTCAATTTTAGAGAACACAAACTCATGTTTGAAATATCTAGCAGGTTTGGGAGTTACGTCTCTTCCCCCCATATCAGAAGGAAGGAAAGTGAAAAGGAGAAAAAGAGAAAAAGATGGAGAACCACATAAAGAGAGATAGCAAGAAAACAAACTGTGAAAGCCAAACTTACTGTATGACAGCTCTTTCTCATGATAACTAGGCCAGTCCCTCAAGAGACTAGTCCCTCACTCCTGAGAGGAAAGTATCAACCAGTCTCAATGGCCCTCTGTACACTGTTACACTGTTTATTAGGACCAAAGCCTCAACAGTTTTAGTAGGGACCAACCAAATTCAAACCATAGAAGATGGACTAAAGTTAAATTTTCTTCCAGGGAGAATGAATTATCTCTCATCTAGATATGAAATGTGAATTTTTGGCATTTCAGCCATTTTTTGTGTCATCTTTCATTATGTTTAAATCAGAATGAATATAAATTAAATAGCAAAGCAAAAAATATTCACCTTAAGAGAGGGTCATGTTTTTCTTTTTTCCAGTCAACTCCTTTACATCTAGCAGCAGGGTACAACAGAGTTCGAATAGTTCAACTGCTTCTTCAGCATGGTGCAGATGTTCATGCAAAAGACAAAGGGTAAGTCACTGCTTTATTTCCTTTTAATGATTTTGCTTATGGATTTGTTTTCATCATCTTCTAACCCCAAAGTTTAAGTTTAAGAAAGCCACACCTCATTCATTAAGAATCTTCACAATTTCAGCTTCATTCTCATGTGCCTGCTTATTACAGTTATCTTTCATAATTACCTAAATCAGTTTGTTATAATTCTATTACTTGAAGCTAAAATGTGTCTCTCAATTCCAATAATTATTTTTCAGCCTTTAAGTTGCACTTCAGAAAGATAAGACGAGTTGAAACTTCTGATACTCTGGTAGCACTGCTATCATACTCATTTTTTATTAAAGGATCAACTCATTAATAAAACAAAACAATAATATTTTAATTTGGTGGGGTTTTTTTTCCCCTGATGAAATCTTGGACATCTAAGGTCCTGATGCATATCAATACAGGAGGGAAATACGTGATGGCCAAAAGTTTATTATGTCATTTATGAATTGATAAATTTTGGAAAACTTTGTACCAATTTCCTACATAGTCTCCAGGGACACATGAACATTGAGTGTGCTCTCTTACATGAAGGGCTAACATTTCTCATTGTCTCACCTTAAGATCTAAAAGATAACTGACCCTACCCAGGTAAGATAGGTTACATTATATTTTTATAATTGACAGAGTAAAGACGTTGTGCCCTAGAGTAGGGTTTCTTTCACTGTGACCGCTCCCCCTTCATGTCAGGAAGCATAAAAGAAGAACTCAGTAGTTGGGATAACAATGAGAATGGGAGTGCATTTCATATCTGCTATTTTTGCCAGCACCAGGTTTTGTGCCATCTGTGAATGGTGTCCCAAATAGGGGCATAAATGCCTGGTGCTTTTGTACATGTCTATTTCTTATGCATGTTTGAAAACAGATAGGTGCACCATACAGTGGACCCTTGACTTAAGAACTCAGTTTGTTCTTCAGGGCTGGTTATAACTCAAGTTGGCCAACTGAAGGCACAGACTCCTCTACACAGCCTTCAAAGTCTCTCCTGTACACAGGCAGATCTCAGTGTCCTTAGAAGGACATTGGCCCAGGATTTCTCAATTGAATCCACACTGGAAAGGATGTTGTAATGTTCCTTCCAGGATTCTCAAGGGATAAATCTCAAATCTGTATCTGAGTCCATCTGGAAGCATGAGTGACTGGTATTAAGATCGTAACTCAGGACTTCGTAAGTTAAAACTAAAGTTCTGGTCATAACCTCAGTTCTTCATCTGTCAAGCCGGTGATAACTCATCAAGAGAAGTGACCGTGAAAGGGGAGGTTTGACTCATTTAGAATACTTGGATATGCAAGTTATAGTTTGGATTCTTACGCTGGGAATTACTTGCAATTCAGTTTAAAATGGTGGGGATTATTTCAGTTCACTGCCAATTAATGTTTTGTATAAATAATTGCTATATAAAGCATGCAACTATCAATTAACATATGATCTTTTTACCTAACTGTTCTTATAATTGGTATTTTTAACATTAATTATATACAAAACACCAGGTAAATACAAAAGTTGTGAATATGTTACATTTTGTACTGTTTTATTAAGTACTTAAATATTTTTAATATACTTCTTTTGGAATTTACTAAATTTTTTATTTCTTACATTTCATGGATAAATAACTATAAAATGTTTGAAAGTGAAGTATTTTAATTTGCCTCTTTTCATTTAGTGGACTTGTGCCTCTTCATAATGCGTGTTCCTATGGACATTATGAAGTCACAGAACTGCTACTAAAGGTAAGGGAGATTGAAGAGTTAAGTATCATTCATTCCTTTTTAATCTTGCTATTACTTCATGTGTTTTTTAGCCAATAAGATTTTAAGAAAAATACTACTATTGCTTAAAACACTTTAAATATTCAACTTAATTTAAGCTGTTTTTAATATCAGAATTTAAAACAATCATAATTCAAAGAGTTGTAACAGAAATTTACAATGAAATAAATGTTTTCTGAGTTTGATTTGACCCAGTGGAGTAATTACTAACCTGAAACTTTTTTCCTCAACTCAGCATGGAGCTTGTGTTAATGCTATGGATCTCTGGCAGTTCACTCCACTCCATGAGGCTGCTTCCAAGAACCGTGTAGAAGTCTGCTCCTTGTTACTGAGCCACGGTGCTGACCCCACACTTGTCAACTGCCATGGCAAGAGTGCTGTGGATATGGCGCCGACTCCTGAGCTCCGGGAGAGACTGACTTGTATGTATTTATAGCATAAAATCAGTATTGCTAGTTATAAGTTGGAATATCTCATTTCTTTGTAGTTATTAAGGCTCGATTTTTTGTCTAACTTAAATAATATCCTTCCATCCTTATAAATATGCTGAGTTTATGATCCTCATTTCTTTGGATTTGGTTTGGTTTGGTTTTTATTTTTTGAGACAGGCACTCTGGTTCAGGCTGGTCTTGAACTCACTATGTAGCTCAGATTGGCCTTGAACTCATGGTGATCCTCTTGCTTCAGGTTTCCAAGTGCTGGGATTACAGATCCTCCTTTCTTATTATATAATTTTCTTTATAAATTCCCCAAGAAACTTAAATACACACACTAGATAAATATTTTGTGTTTATTCGAGCCTAATTCCAATTCATATGTTAAATGTCCTTTTTTTAAAAAAAAAAAAAGCTAAGGACGCTGAGGATTAGCAGCCATTTATTGAATGCTTCCTGTGCAATAGAAACTGGCAATACTGAAGTTCACAAAGCAAAACAAATCACTGAGCTCATAGAGCTTGTATTCTTACGCCATTGATCATAGCAGATGACATCAAACAGGATTGAGCACTGTTTTCCAAGCCCTGCAGTGTTCATTCCTAAACATTTATTGTTTATGGAATGGCCCGAGTTTAAGTGGGCCCAAATTTATGAGATAATATTTATGATTTGATGGAGATAATGTGATGCATTACCTACACATGTATAAATATATTTCTAAATAAACTTTTGTTTTAGATATACAGAAAATTTATGAAGATAGTATCAGGATCTCATGTATCAATACTCAGTGTCTTTACTGTGTTACTAATATTTTAGTATGGTACATTTATCACTATTAAGAAACCATTTTGATACATTATTATTAAGTAAAGGCCATACTCTTTTCGGATTTGCCCAAAGTCCTTTTTCTGCTTTACATTCTCATTCACAGCATCATATTACATGGAATCGCTACACCAGCATTGAAATCTATTTAACGCTGCATGTGAACATTTCTGATTTAAATTACATGAAATGTCATCTACTTGATTTTTAATTTATCTCATAGTCCGTATTCTCTCTTAACATTTAGGATTCTAAGAATCAGAAACAGCCTAAGAAAATCTTTGTTAAGCTATAACCTAAGGAAAGGTTATAGTCAAAGTGATGCCAACATCATTTATATTTAAACAGATGTATGTTAAAATAGTGAGAATTCTTTATGATTTTGACCCAGGAAGATGTCTTTGTGATGAATCCTTGTAGAAGTTCATGCATTCTCCCCAAGCCAGGTGACTCTTGCCATGTGTTGTCTTGCATTATATAGTTCACTTTTCTGTGTGCGTTCTATATTGTAGGAAAATTTGAATTCTTAGGAAGACTTTGACTTCTTTTTCTGTCTCCACACCTATGTAGCTCCTTGTTATCTAAGAACAAGGTGTGTGACGCTGTTGTGTGTGGGCCTGCATCTCTGCCCAGTCCCAGCGTAGCACAGTGCATTATACGTACTGTCTGCTTAGCAGGTTTACTGATCGAATCTGACTATACAAAAAACTTATTTTACTGTTTTCTAATTTCTTTTTTTCTATTTATGCACTGGTTCAGCTTTATCCCTATGTAATTTGACCTTTTTCCTCCCTTTCAACCATTTTACAAATTATGAATATTATTAGATGCTTTTACACTGTATTTTATTAATTTGTCTTATTCCATTGTAGACATTACAGGTTAACCTAAATTTGTGTAATTTTATGAAGACAGCAAACTTCATTTGTCCCCAGTTTTATCATTAAAATAAAAATATATAATTTTGTTATTAATATTTTCTATATAGTGTTATCACATTTGACTTTGATTTCTTGTTTTTGAAGTTTTTTGTTGTTGTTGTTATTGTACTTGTGTGAGGCAAGAGGCGGAACCACTGAGCTAAATCCCCAGCCCATCTTGTTTTTGAAGTTTTGAAGTTCTTTTTTGTGGAAGTCAGCAATGATAAAGAGGTTACATAAAAATGGTTCATACTTGCCATAATTTATTCTGTGTTTGGCATTCATGCCACAAATACTTACTGAGAACCTACCACATGCCAACTCTGTACTAGGTGATGGCTATTATGACAGTGGTAACAGACATGTGATAAAGCTAATGCAACTTCTGTGGGTCTCAGATTAAGGAACCTAGCCCAATAATATAGCAGGATGGGAAGGCTTGTCTAAACTGTTTAACCTGCAACCTGAAACAGTGCATAGTCATTAATAAGGCACATGGTACATATGCATGGTGTCTGTGCTTTGTCTCACCCTTTAGAGAGAGGTGAATGTGATGGAGCCTTAAAAATAAAAAAGCAAAAACAGGAAAAGAGAAAGAATACAGTGCTATTCAGATACAAAGGTGTGAGAGGTCATGAGAGGGTCTGAAATTGTTACAGAATATTTTAAGTCATACATCATTTGCACCGTTTCAGAACAACTTTCACCTTTTTGGTACTACGTGGGTCTATTAAAATGCAATACATTTGTGAAATAGAAAAACAAGACTGCATTTTTTTTTGTATTTAAATATTACAATTTGGAGGGCTTTATTGTTGTTTCTTTTTTTTCATTAAGTTTATTGGTACATTTAAAGCAAACAATAGTTAGAAGACTGCATTTTTTAAATTATAAGAATAATGGCTTCTTGCTGGGCATGATGAGGTATGCTTGTAATCCCAACTGTTCTAGAGGCTGAGGGAGAGCCAAGTGTAATCCTAGCACTCAGGAGCCTGAGGCAGGAAGATTACTGCAAGTTCAAGGCCAGCCTAGGCTATATAGTGAGTTCAAAACCAGCCTGAACTGTGTAGCAAGAACTTTTCTCAAAAAACAGACAATCAAAAAAACAGTGTATACTTTCATATCAGTACCTGTAGATTTACCTCTTTTGTTTGAGAACTGTAAAATCAAAAAACAGTGTATACTTTCATATCAGTACCTGTAGATTTACCTCTTTTGTTTGAGAACTGTAAAATCATCCACTATAGTATACATTCACAAATTATTTTACTGATTTCTTTTGATGAACGTTTACATTGCCTGTTTTAAAAACTTTGTTGTGGTGTCTATGTAGCTGAATCTTTATGAACTAAGAGTATGAAAGTCTTAATTTTGAGCATATATTTTTCAATTTTTTTATTAATCTACACCTTCATTATTTGTATTGTTATTATATTGTCATGTTACTACCTTTGCTGAAATAGAGAAATATATACTTAATAATTTTCCGACTTACATGTAATCATGCTGAATCATTTCAAATGAATTTTAACTATTTTATGTTAACCATTATTTCATTTGCAGATGAGTTTAAAGGTCATTCTTTACTTCAAGCAGCAAGAGAAGCAGACCTAGCCAAAGTTAAGAAAACACTTGCTTTGGAAATCATTAATTTCAAACAACCTCAATCTCATGAAACAGCACTGGTAAGATTTATTAACCCATTCTTTGGGACTATAATTGTAATGCAAGCACAAAATAATGTCTTTCATTTCAAAAACCTGAAAGTGCCTTTATTATCTGAAAAGCCAAGAATTTTCATTTTAATGTTGATTGCATTGACTTTTAAATTTAGTTTGACGAATTCTTCCTGTTAGAGGCTTTTTTTTATGTGTTTGTTAGATAAATATTATATTTCTTGTAGGAAATTAAAATAGTTTCAAAGATAATCATTCTTTTGAACAGTTGCATTCAATAACTGATTGTACTCATGCTGAAAAGTAGTGAGATCATGAGTTTTCTATTCCAGACTGCACAACTTGCTATTAAAAGTATGCATTTTCTCTGTCTAATGCACTGTGATTAAAACATTCATATCTTTTCTTTGTCATTGACCACATCACAGCCCAGCAGTTGTTAGCCTTCACTCCTGAAATGAGAATTTAAGCATATGTGATACTTGTATCACAGACCTTTATATAACCCTTACATAGCATTCTTACACATACGTGACACACAAAGGTCAAACCTTAGTATCTACTGAAAACAACATTAAGATTCATTAATTTGAAATGGGTCAACTGAATGTACTCTTAACTTTTTGGAGGTACCAGGGATTGAACTCAGGACCTTGCACTTGCAAGGCAGGCGCAGGTGGCACTGAGCCAAATCCATAGCCCTTGAATGTACTCTTAAATATATATCCATCAAACTGGGATTCATGTGCATTCAAGCTACACAGCATTATACCAGGAGATACTGAAAGCCACAGACTAAAACTGACCTGCTTTTTTAGAGTACTAATTTTTCTGTTATAAGTAGTTTTATTTTTAAAATTTTAATACAGATTAACATAAAAGGAAACAGAATAAAAACATACAATTATTGGAGTAAAACAAAAAGATGTCTGAGACTTCATGTTTCTTCCTCTAAACTGCTTCCAGTTTGTCACTTTTTTTTTTTTTTTTGCCAGTCCCTGTGCATACAAGTTTATTCCCCCACACATCTGGGAATACATTCGTGGAAGAATTTAACAAAAACAACTTGTGTGACCAACAGCTAGTGAAGGCTTGAGTTAGTTCTAGAGTTCTGTAGCTGTGAAGAGAGTGTCTCATGCTTTCAAAAAAATGTACACTGAATATTTATTGACCAAAGGAAAAGAAATGAGGTGTCTTTGTGCTCAGCTAAAAGCATAATTTCACCAGGTTTATTGGTTTATGTTTAAAGGCTTTAACTGGTAGAGCTTTTATACTTGTACTGTATTTAGGAGGAATATCGCTCACTGATCATTCTATAATGTAAAATATATTATGTTCTGATACTTTGTGATAACAGTGTTCTAAATAGTCAGCAGATGCTGTATATTAATTTAGTTTTCTTTATTTTATAGCACTGTGCTGTGGCCTCCTTACATCCCAAACGAAAACAAGTGACAGAATTATTACTTAGAAAAGGAGCGAATGTCAATGAAAAGAATAAAGAGTAAGTATGATTGCAGAGAGTTGTTAAAATCTTGAAGAAATACAACAAAAGCTAGAGAGAAAATGACTTTTTCCTTTCTCCTCTCCATAGTTTCATGACACCCCTGCATGTTGCTGCCGAAAGAGCTCACAATGATGTCATGGAAGTTCTGCATAAGCACGGAGCAAAGGTGAGGCTTACACCAGAAGAGACGTCCCAGGCGCATCACTGAACAGCTAGTTGTTCTGAACACTGCTGCTTTTCTCTCTGATTTTTCTGAAGAAACTCATTTCTTCAGAAAGGACTGGTAGTTTGTATTTAAATTCATAGAGTCTCCTCTGATTTAAATCTTAATGATAATAAAAATAATTACCTGTGTTTTCTTGTCCTTTACTTTCAGTCTTCTGTAAAATGCAATAAAATGTAGCTACAGCCATTTGAAGTAGATTTCAACCTCACATATATTAATATGAAAATTGGCATATTTTGATGGTCAACATTTCAATATAGTTTATAAAAAATAATTTATGTAAATGATAGTCAAGGTATCTCTACGTTTTATTTAAGAATAAAGAAGTTAAAATTTTCTAATGTTTAATTCTTATTGACTCTGGCACCTTATTTAGGTCCATGTGTCAGCTGAGATGAGTCATAGCAAATACCAGGGTTTTCTGAAAAAGAATGAGTCTTCCAAAGTGTGAAGGGACTGAGTGGCAGCTCGCCTGTTCACGTCCATACTAGCTGTCCATTTCCCTCACATCATTCAGTTTCAGATTGCTGTTCAGATAATGCCAATAAAAATAATTATTAAAACTTGTATTTCTTTAGCATGGAGGTTGAGAAAATTATTATTGCAAATTTAAGAGACTACAAATGTTCTTTACTCATTGGTGATTAGAAAAACCGTGAGGCATATTTTTTTTTTCCTGATCGTATTATAGTTAATTTTGACAAATATTGTTAACTAACAAATATAGTTAACTCTGACAAATATTGATATATAAAATGATCCAGACTGCTGACTTTTTTACTTTAAAGATTATAATATTTGCCTTCCAACACATTAACAATTTGTTAATTAGTATTATTATTATTAGTCTGTCCTAGCATTCTGCATCCTATTATTGATGAGTTGTCTGCCATAATTATTAAGAGTTTTATTAAGGCTATGGCTATTCTAGAAGTAAGTTGATAGGCATTTTCTTTTAGTGCAGTCCCTTTCAAGGGTACACCCCGATTACCTTAAGACTTTCCAGTTGCCGCCCCCCCTTGAAGGTCCCAACTACCTCCCACTAAGTGTCACCCTGGGAACCACACCTACCTAGGAACCAAGCAAATAGGCCTTTGGAGGATATTTAGCATCCAAACTATAGCAACAGTATTTAACAAAATTAGCTCTTTAGGGTTTGTTTAAAGACAGATTATAGGAAGATAATATTTCTTATCTTCAAGCTAAAAAGATTTTAATATGCCTGGTACCTGTTCTAGACTCTACGGAACAGATCTGTTTTATATCCTATCTTTTGTTACTCTTTCATAGAATTATTAAATTGATTAGTTTTTATTGTTCACTTTCAAAGTGTCTTGGTTTGAGGAAAAAATAAAAAACACTGAGTCTCTCTAACTAAAAGAATACAGAGACTGTTTTCATTTCTTGTATTATTTGAAATCAAGTTTTAGATCAAAACATATACATGTTGATAGTTAAAGTGATACAGTAATATTAATTAACAATAAATGCCTAAGTACCAAAGTTACAGAATGGTTCTTGATTAATAGCTTTAAATTTAGGACAGAGAGAGAAGACACAGCCTCAAAGTCAGTGTTTGAGAATAGTCTATTCATATTAATTAGAATATAGAAGGACTCCCCTCTGCCAGTTCCTTGTAATCTACAGAACTGCTTTGGCATTTGGAATTATGAAGGTATGTCCTGTACATTCAGAAGATGTGAATCTGTTTTCTATATTACACTCAGTTCTTCCATACAAATTTTTAGACAAATCCTCTTCTCAGGCAGTATGTTTTCAATGTTCAGTGATAGTGTATATAACTTGGTGTTCAGCTAATCCGCTCAGATACTAGAAGTAAAACAGACTAGTGTTAGATTTGCTGGAAAACTTTACATCTGTAAATTCCATAGAATTTGCTAAGGTATTTCCAAGGGTTATCTTGACCAACAGCTAATTTTACTTTTAGCAATGATTGTAGAAGTTCACACCTTCATAAATTGGGAATCCAGTATAATTGAATAAAACTGGAGCATAGCAGGCCTATCAGATTATGATTAAAAATGTTGGAAAAGAAGATGGCATAGGAGTAAATTAGGGAATGTTTTAAATGGCATGCTAAAAGATTGAACTTTATTTGAAAGTACTAAGTGGCTATTAATTTGAGATTTTAACTTTGTGTTTTAAAGGAGTAGTAACCCTCAAAGCATATTTCCAAACTTTAACTGGATTGGGGGTTTTTATTCTCTAATTGAATAATTTAGTATGTTTCTAGTAATTTCCAGAAAAGAAGTTTATGCTTAGAATATTTGCACTTTTCAGGGATTTTTATCATATGATGAAAAAGTAATATATTCATAGAAAAAATTTAGTTTGGCAGCCTGTGTGTGTGTGTGGTTTTGGTGTTTTTGTTTGTTTGTTTGTTTTTTAATAAATGCTAATGGCTGCGCTTTTGTGTTGTTTTGTATAAATAGTCATTTTTCTACTGGAAAATGTGAATCAAATACCTTGGTATTTCATGGAGTTTTATGAAAGACCATTAAGAATGTAAATGACCAGGCCAGGGATTTAGCTCAGTGGTACCACCGCCTCCTTGGCAAATTTGAGGTCCAAAGTTCAATCCCAGGTACCCAAATAAAAAAAGAATGTAAATGAACCTTATCTGAACAAATGTGACAGTTTTACTGATAATGAGAAAAGACTGGAAAAATGGAGAACAGTCATTTTGAAAACTTTGTTTTTGTAGCCTTCTGTTCAAGGGGTATCCACAAATATTTTGAATAACCAGTGTATATTTGAGAATTAACTATGTTCTCTTATCAAGAGCTTTCTGGTGAATTTAGAAAACATAAATAGTCTGTATTCTCAATAAGCTTAGTTTAATGTGGTAAAAACCACTCCAGTGTTGTGATTTATAAGACAGAATCTAAACTGATGTAGGTGTTCTGAAAGGGAGTAGTCATTGAAGTTTCAAGTAATCAAGGAAGACTTCTTTGGAGAGGAGAGACTTAGATCTCATAATTGAGAAAGAAAGAAGGGTTCTCTGAAAGAAGCAGCATGTCCAATGAGAATGAACTTGGTGCCTGAAACAGAGGCTATTTACAGAGACATCTGGGAGATGGGTTGGGATCACTTAGGTATGACTCAAAAGTTTATTATTTTCTTTGTCTTACAACTAGCCACATTTTTCTTTTTCCAATGTAAGCACTTCAAGGTTTTGAAAATGGAACATCCATATCCTCAAATCATTTTTTAGATAAATGTCCTTGTAATTCAGCTAGGATATTCTGTTATAAGGTGAGCATACCTAAACTGAAAATATGAAATCTGAAGTGCTTCAGAATCTGAAATTTTTTGTGTGTCATTATGACTCAGGTGAAAAATTCCATACCTGATCTCATATGACCAGTCACAGTCAAAATGTAGGTGCATTAAACGTAGGATATAAAATTACCCTTAAGCTATGTGTGTAATGGGTGTATGAAACAAATTAATTTCCTTTAGATTTTGATCCCATCCTCAAGATACTACCTACATGTATGCAAATATTCCAAAATACGAAAGAATTTGAAATCCAAAACTCTAGTGGCCCCAAGTAGTTCAGATGAGGGTCGCTCAAATCTGTATAGTCAGGTATTTCCTAAAACTAGGGAAGACATATAATTAATTGTTTTGCCAGTGTTTACTTACATATTCTGTTGTCTTTCTATTCTGGGAACAACTGGTTAAGCCCATTCATTCGAAAGTATTTCATGACCATCTTTGCCATGGCAAGCAGTGACCAGAAAAGAGTCCCTACTCTCTCAGACCTTACCTTCTTGCTGTCCGCAGGAGTTGAAAGAATTTGAAAGTGGACAGGAAGATGATCATTCGAGGAAAGGAAGGCTATGTTGTAATTTGAATAAGGTGGTCAAAGAAGGGTAGGAAAAAGATGTTTTTAAAACGAGTGAGCACAGTTACTAATAGTGCCCACAGCACTTTGCAGAAATCTTTCACAGCTGATTTTTCTTAAAATTTTGTTTGCTGAGGTATAAAAGGATTCTTGATTTCTTGTGCCACCCAATGATTTTTCAGATGAATGCACTGGACACCCTCGGTCAGACGGCTTTGCATCGAGCTGCCCTTGCGGGGCACTTGCAGACCTGCCGCCTCCTGCTGAGTTATGGCTCTGATCCCTCCATCATCTCCTTGCAAGGCTTTACAGCGGCACAGATGGGAAATGAAGCAGTACAGCAGATTCTGAGTGGTGAGTTAGAAGATAAACTGTGTTTCAACTTTCTGCCCTGTTTCTGCTGACATACTCAAACTTCATACCATTTGTTTTAAGTCACTCCTTGAAATATTTTCTTGGCCTCAACTTTTTTTTTGTTCCTTTTTTTGCAGGCAGTTTTGGCTCTGACCTTCCCCATGTCTCTTTTTTAGTAGGATGAGGTCAGTTTCAAAAGAAAGAGACAAACATATTTTTTTAATATTTATAGTTTGAAACAAAAAAACTGACATCATCAAAGGTGATGCAAAATTCATAAAAACTGGAATTGTAGTAGATCTAGAATCAATCAGGTAGAGAAGATTTTAAAAATCAAGGCTACCATAATGACCTTTAATTGTTCTTATATATATAATCTTACATACTTTTGTCATTCTTAATTATAGCATTATGAAATTAATCTTGTATTTTTCTGGTTTAAATATAATTATAAAAATATTTCTGAATGTCACAGCACATGCCTACTACCACAAGAGGTATTTAAATTAGTTTTTTGAGGGAGATCAAACATAAAACTGATACAAAAATAGGCATTGGCTACCTAAAGTTGCAAAATTTGAGAAGTAACACAGTCAAACCTACTTAAAAAATGAGAACTAAGCACAAAAGAAATTTAGTGGGATTTGCTCTTTCCCTTTTTAATTTCATCTGTAGATTTTATCTACTCTAGAATGACAGTGAATGACTGGAAAAACAAAGTAGAAAAGGTTACAGATTAGTAGCCAGAAGTTCTGGTTACATTTTCCTACCAATAGTCCAGTCATTCTCAACTCTGTCAAACACAGTGCCCTCTTTTAGAACAAATATCTTATGATATCCTCTTTACTATACAGAAATGAAGGTCATAGGTGATATGTTCTAATCATATAAATACCTTCCCAAAAATTTATATAAAACACCCCCACAATAATATAAGGGAGAAAATAACTTGTAACTATTATGTAATAGTTTGAGCATGACTATACTAGAAAACCAAAATTGACCCTAAAATTGTAAAAGGCCCCCAAGAAGTCTAACCCAGGTGAGAACCACGGCTACATGGTAAAAAACACAGGACCTCCCAAGGCACAGAGAGATCGTAAGTATATTTTGTTAGGGCTGAATCAGAGCTAAACAGCTTCATGAAAATAATTGTGCAACTTTGTGAAAACTATTGACTAAAACTTCCTTGTTCTAGTTTATTCTTAGATGGCAGCCATTCTACTTGAATCTTAGATGATGATCTTCACACAGTGAAAGAAAATCTATAGAGTATCTTTATTGTCAAAAAGAGAAAGCTCACTGAAAGAATGAAATTTTTCCTTAGGAGATTTCAAGTTTGAAGTACTAAATGCATGATTGTTAACTTCCTGTTTGTACAGAGCAGTGAAATACTTGCTTAAAGAAGATATTACTATTTGACTAAAGTATTTCTGCCATCTCAATAAATTCTAAGAACTTTTAATTGATTTTTTGTTAAACTAGTCTAAGTTTTTCTCATACTTTCAGAATTATTTAGTGTAGGATTTTAAGTGAGTTTCTTAAAGTTGTAACCATAAATCAGACAAACATAGCAATCACATCAAAATTGCTAATAGTACTTTACATAATTGTTAGAGATAATTAACAAAATGGGAAAGAATGGATTGAATAAATCAAGCAGATTAGATCCATATTTTTTGCATATAGTGATTTTTAAATGTCTTATAGATAAATGCAGTTAAAATATATGACTTCTGGTTAAAGTTAAATAGTGAATCATAATTGAAATCTCTTTCAATTATTTTGGTAATTTGGCTTTGAAATGATTTGCAAAGTTAAACATTAGAATAATTAAGTGCCTAATTTACAACAGAGCAGAAATTCTTAGTTTGAAGATTCATGTTCTTCTTTGACCCAGAGAGATAATGTAAATAATAGAAATGGTTGGTGAAATAGTACCTGTTACAGGACTTTCTAAAAAATAATAATAATAAGGATTGTTTCATGTTTGTAAGAGGATATAATTTTTAAAATCATTTCTACCAGAAACCTGTGTATTGATTGTGGACTGCACACCAGCTGATCTTCACAATTTTACCTATATTTATTAATCTAATTCTAGGATATATCTGTAATGACTCCTAAAGGAATACATTAGTCATATAGTATATATATAATAAGTTGTTAGGGTTCAGTTGAAGATAGCATTTTAAAGTTTCTTTTAAATATAACTGCTAATACCAGACTTGACATCAGTCTTAAAAACATGCATTTTTTAACATAACGTCAGTAGTTTTCAGAAGTTTATATTAATAAAGGTTTCACTGTAAACTACTGGCAAAATTTATGTCAAATTAGTGTCTGAGTAAGAAATGAAAATAATCAGGGTTTTTTTTAATGAATCAGCATTTTAAAATATCATTACAGAAGATTTGGCTGCTTTCTCTAGACCTGCTCTTTCATATGGTAGCCACTAGCTACATGTGACCTCACTTAAGTTTGGTAAAATTGGGGCTGAGTTTTGGTTCACTTAAAACCCTAAAGCCAGTTTGTAAGGGATTATTTGAAAATAACAAACGGCATCCCAGCCTTTAAAACTTTTAAAAAGTTCTGGTGAGCCAGGCTAAGATCAGAGAGAAAATAATTAGAAGCCAATCTTCAATGTGTGACTATAGGTAACTTTGATTTCATATCCTGCAAAAAACTACCTTACTAAATAAAAGATTTTACTGCTACAGTGCTTTGCATATTAATTAAAAAGTTCTGGTGAGCCAGGCTAAGATCAGAGAGAAAAAAATTAGAAGCCAATCTTCAATGTGTGACTATAGGTAACTTTGATTCCATATCCTGCAAAAAACTACCTTACTAAATAAAAGATTTTACTGCTACAGTGCTTTGCATATTAGCTACTCTTCTTTTCCCTGTGTTCCCTTTTTAACTTTATCTTTTGTATTTCTTCTTTTAATTATATGTAACTTTGTACAAAGTTCCTGGATTAATATATACCCTAACTTCTTCCAGGTAATACTTTGTTCATATTATTTATAAAAACATGTCTATTCTGAACCTATTTAAAGAATTATAATAATGCAGAACTCCCCAGTTTCTACAGTAATTAATACATTCACAACAGGGCTGTAATTTGTATGTTCTCTCTCCTAGAAGGCTTGAACCACTGATGGTACATATGTGACTGACTATCCCATTGGGCAGCCTTGTATTAATTCGATTAAAAACAAGACTGATAAAAGTGATTAGATCCTTTTGTACATGCCACCCAATGGGGACAGACAGTGATTCAAGCTGATCGGGACGTGATAATCAATATCTTTACTTTCTATTCTTCCTTTCTCATAGTTCTTAGAAGCATCTTACATATGCATAAAATATTTTCTTGATTAGAAAATTGTACCTTTTATTTAGTCAGTTTTCTTGAAGATAAGTGTGTCAACTTCAAATTGTTCTTAGAATTTAAAAACTCAGCATATTGGGCTGGGGATTTACCTCAGTGGTTCCACTACCTGCTTTGCAAGCACAAGGTCCTGAGTTCATTCAATCCCTGCTACCAAAAATAAAAAAACTCAGCATATTAATTTAATTTCTCAATGTTAAAATCTAAAAATATCCTAAGTTATAACTCTACATATATAAACAAGCACTCTTTTTTGTTTGAATAAACCAAAAATATTACCTGTAGATACCCAAAGGATGTTCTGTGAGTTTTATCAACTGCCAGAATCACTGTTTTGGAGACACAGTAGACATGCAAAGGCATTCTTACTTTTAAGTGCAGTATGTACATACACAATTAGGAGGAAGACAACTGAGACAGGAAAAAGCAAACACAGCCAAAAGGAGAGGTAACGTTTAACATATACGTTGATCCCAAATAAAATGGCATGAAAATCAACTCAGCAAATACTTTCTGAATATTCTCCAGATATAATGGAATAGGAAAATGAGCAAGGATCTGGTTCCTTTCCTCAACAATTCCATAAACTAACAAATGTAAGATAATTCTCTTTCAAAGAAATACTTTAGAAATCTAATTTATTATATGAGACTCTCTCTTAAATCTTTCATCTGCTAAATATTAATGTGATCAAACAGTTTGTCTTCCATTGAAAAATTCTCAAAACTTACTCTGTAAAAGTCACTTTCCTGAACGAAGCACTTTAGGACTAAAGTATTTCTTCTGACATCTAAAACCTTTCCATAGTATCACTTGATCTTCCCACTTGGACAGTAGTCTCAAAACAGTTATCTCTGATCATAAGATAATGCAGTCTTGAGTCTGCTTTTTACAAACTAATTTGTCACCTTTTCAGCAGAAACCTCTGTTTTTAAGTACAAAAATGAACTATTACATCATTGTTGATCTAAAGTTACATATAATAGAGCCCAGTCTAAACTCCTGTCTCCTGGAACCCAGCCCTTTTGTGTTACATGTTTGCTCATTATGAAAGACACACTTGCCAGCCATGCTGTAATCTCAGCAGCTGGGAAGTCTCAGGCAAGGGGATCAAAAGTTTAGGGCCAGCCCAGGCAATTTAGACCCTGTCTCAGTATTAAAAAATAAAAATGGCAGGCCAGGGATTTGGCTCAGTGGTTCTGCTGCCTGCCTCACAAGTGCAATGGCCCAAGTTCGATCCCCGGTACCAAATAAATAAATAAAATAAACAAGTAAATAAATATGGCTAGAAATAGTAGCTCAGTGGTAGAGTACCCCATACCAAAAGAAACTAACGCCCCAGCCTTCCCCCTCAAAAAAGCCAAATAATGTCCATGAATGTCTTTTGGCTGATATGTTATTATAAATTTTCTTTAACAGGTTATTTTATTTAGGCCAGTGTGAAATGAATTTCTGGTTTGTTTATATTGGATTAATCAAAATACCTCTATTGTCAACCTCTAGACTTAATAGCCCAACTTAATTGTATTCCGTTTAGCATTGGTATCATGCCTTCCAATTATACAGATGTTTTAAATTGCATTTCCCTGAAGCCATTCAATAAATGTGAATTAAACAAATGTCTATATAGTCCTTTTTTATTCACTAATTATACATTCTAAAATCATTCTGATTTCAGGAGTGTTTGTATTTTATATTGCAGACACTGAAGCTAAAAAGAAAAACTGAACATTAAGTAGTAAAATTCAGGTGGCTTCCCTAAGTTTATGTAACAAATCTATGGCAAAGCTTTGCTGCAACACTTTGTGGCATCAGTGTATCAAATGCTTTTCATTTCCTAGTCACGTTTCCTCATTACCCTCTGTCAAATTTATAACCACCTAATCAGGGATAGTATAGTAGAGATAGAGAAGGATTTATGTGTACTAAAATTAATTTCAGGGCCAGGGATTTAGCTCAGTGATGCTGCCTCCTGTCTTGTAAACACAAGGACCCGAGTTCGATCCCCAGTACCGAAAAAATTTATTTCAGTTTGGCTTTGGTTGAGATTGATATAGATTGAGGTAAGAAAGCACAGTTTTTATCTGAAAAAGATTGGCCAAAGCATTTATGTTACATCAGAAATTTCCAACTCATTTATCTCTTTCTATTCACCAAATAGTTTTCCTTCCTTAGCTGCTCTGTCATTCCCAAAGATCAAGTATAACTTTCCTTTTATGCAGAGAGCACACCTATCCGTACTTCCGATGTTGACTATCGACTCTTAGAGGCATCGAAAGCTGGTGACTTGGAAACTGTGAAGGTAAGTCAGTGCCCTTGCTGTTTGGTTGGCACTGTTAAACTTTGCAGCTCAGTTCATTTTTAAGCTTCTAAATAAAACTAAGTCAAACAGTGAACAAAACTAAAGTTTCTAAATGGACAGAATAGAACTATAGATAGGAGAAATCTTTACCAGTAAGAATTTCCCAGTATGCATGTACGGCTTATAGCAATTAAACCATTAGAAAAAATAGCTATATAAATATGCACCCATACATGTGCTCAGACGTGTGTGCTTTTTAGTCATTTGTCCTCAGGTTACATAGAAGCATTATTTTTACTTATATTAATTAAAGCATTATTTTAGGTTACAGTCATAAAATATGTGAACTAGTTCAAATCCAGGTATTAGAATCACAATTTCAAATGATGTTTCTTTATCTTTTCCCAGAAATTCTCACATTTATTTTAAGAAAGCATTCTTATGATCCATCAACCATTAGAAATTATTTATATACAGATGGTGAATTTTCTTTTCTGTGACTGTACTTGCCGAGAAAACATTATCAGTCTTTATTTGCAATATAGAAACAGGTTGTAGATTTAATTTTTTTAATTAAAATTCAAATATTGAAATTTTTACAACTACAGTTGCCATCACTAATTACTCATTTAAGGATACAGTTAGCAGAAAGTATAATGGTTTTTATTTTTATTTGAGGGGTCAATCTTTTGGGTTTTTTTATTATTTTTAAAGGCTAATTGCAAAATCAGTATTTACAGTAATATTACTATTTATGTACTAGTTTGTCCCCTGTCGTGAAGCAAATTCTGTTTCCATTCTTTATGACATACACTAGTTGAAGATGGCAGTAAGCACTACTCTCTGTTGCCCAGAAATTTTATTTTAGTTCAGTATGTGGACACTTCAAGATCTCTTCCATCTTAAAATAGTGTCTAAGTTTTTTAGGTTTTTTTTTGTTTTGTTTTGTTTTGTTTTGTACTGGGGATCGAACTCTGGACCTTATGCTTGCGAGGCAGGTGGCAGAACTACTGAGCTAAATCCCCAGCCCATTCTAAGTTATTTTTTTAAAATTAAATGTTAGTTGTAATAGCCACTGGGGAAAATTTTTGAACTTCTCTTAAATCTGAGAGCATATTTTTTTATCATTTGAAATGTGTCCTAATAATAGAAAATCCTTAAGCAATTAGGATTTATTTCTTTATTATAACATGATCATCTCAGCACTAGAATAGCTACATATGCTCATTACAATCAGCATTTTCAAATATATAGTTTTTAGGCAAATACATACTGTAGCTTTCAGGTTTGCTAAATAATACATTCGCAATGAAAGCCAAATGTATTTTTGATAAATAAAATTATTTTTTAAATTTAATGGAATGGAATGTCAAAGCATCACAAATTGAGAATCAGGCCTGATAAATTTCTTTCTCAAGAGCTTTAGAAAGTAGTAAAAGTATTAAAAAGGCTCTTTGCAGAATAAAGAATTGAAATTTTGAAAGATAGGAGGATATAAAATTGTCTTGGCATTCAAAAATAAAACAGACTAGAGATAGAGAACTTACAAATATTAAAATGCAAATACTTAATATGCAGGACTGGCTTTTGCTTTTTTAACCTCCCAAATTTGGTTGTTTTATTCCCTGCCACATTCAAATTTTCCAATATTCTCTGTAAAAATGGTAATGATTAATTTAGTATATAAGAACCAAGGAAAAAAGCAACATCAGGGAGCAGCTTCAATTGTATAAGACTTCATAGAAGAATTTTGCAGTCTTTATTTTTAGTTTTTTTGTTTTGGTTTGGTTTTGGTTTTGGTTTTGGTTCTGGACTTTGAACTGGGGACCTTGCCGTTGCGAGTCAGGCAGTGGAACCACTGAGCTAACTCCCTGGCCCAAGCTTATATATTCCTTATATTCATATAATTGTATTTATTGATTCTCGTGTTTGTGCATTAATGTGTCCACAGACTTACAGAAATGATAAGATACTTCATCTAGCCAGGTAATAATGGCTCTTTAGATTTTAGAGGCTGGTGCTTTTTCATATAGATTTGATGAATTTATGAGTTCTCCCTTGCTGGCCAGACTCCCTCCTGTCACATGAAAATTACATTGCATTAAAACTCTCATTCTTATCTTACCAATGCAAATGTTCCTTGTCTTAGTGCATTTGTGCTGCTATAACAAAATACCAGAGACTGGGTAATTTATAAACAATAGAAACTCAACTTCTTTCAGTTTCAGAGACCTAGAAGTCCTAAAGTCCAGGCTCAGGCAGCATCAGTTCTGGTGGGGACCAGTCATTCTGCTTCCAAGATGGTACCTTGTTGCTATATTCCTTAAAGGGAGAAAAATGCTGTGTGGGGGGCCAGGGATTTGCTTAGTGGTTCCACTGCCTGCTTCGCAAGTGCAAGGTTCTGAGCTCAATCCCCAGTACCAAAAAACAATTTTTTTTTTTTTTAATGCTGTGTGTGCTTCTTATAAAGTCCTTAATCCCAGTCACAAGAGTGGATCCCTCATGACTTAGCCTAATGGCTACGCCTGTTGATATTGTTGCATTAGAAATTAAGTTTCAACATGAATTTTGGAGGAATACAAACATTGAAACCATAGCATTCCTACTCAGTATATCAGTAGAAGAAGATCTTTTAGCAGTGGCAAGAGTGGAAGCAAGATTTACAGATAACCTAAAAATTCCCTCCCATCATACTTGGTAACCTGTAAGATGTCACTGTTTTCTCTACTTTGATTTTTTTCTTCTCATTAGTTTTCTTATCGCTTCCTTGAAGTTGAATAATTAACAAAATGAACAATGATTTATGATGTATGATGTTTTACTAAAAGACCAAGAGAGTAACAATCAGTAAAACAGTTTGAATCTTTATCCTTCCCTTTACCAACTATTTGAACAGGATAAATCTCTTAAACTGCCTGAGTCTTGGTTTATATATCTGTGAAATGAAGACACTGATCAATTTTACTGATAGATATAATTCCCTTACTGAAAAAATGTGATATTCTTTTAAATTATTATTCAAATATTGTTATAGTTTGCCTATCACCTCCAGTGATGCAGCCTCTCATTCTTTGCTTCCCACTGCTTTGTAAACAAACATGACTGAGCTCATAATTTATATTCTGTGGAAATGGTAACATTTAAAGGGACAAAAGAAGACAGGAAATTCGGAGGATATCTCAGAAAGAGATGGAAGGCCAAAGCTAGAGTGTGATTAAAATAATTTTGATTTATGAGACTAAACATCACCCCCCAAATCAAGTAAAGCATTTGTGAGTTTTTTGGGGTTTTGTTTTGTTTTTTTTGTTTTGAGAAAGGATCTCACTATGTAGTTGAGACTAACCTGGAACTCACTATGTAGCCCAGGCTGGTCTAGAATTTACAGCCATCATCCTGCCTCAGCGTCCCTAGTGCTGGGATTACAGGGGTGCACCACCACACCTGACTTAAGTAAAGCATTTGTTGACTGCCGGGCTTCTTGGTATAGGTGGTCAAAGACCCAAGTTAGAAAAGTAATCTTTTCTGAGCCCATTTGCTTGCTAAATCCACATTAGAGGGAATAGAACTCTGTAATTCTGTAGTCAACTGGAGTTAGTCTCCTTTGAGCAAAGAATAGCTAATGGTGTTCTTATACAAGCAGACAGGCTGTGATAAGCAAGCCCAGGGAGCAGAAACTTCCAAAGTTGCAAAAGAAAGATTTCATTGGCTTGGAAATTGCAAGTTTTTCTATTTAGTAAGATTTGGGCCAGGAAATGTTGACAAAGGTTAAATTATACAACACAGGGGCTGGGGATTTAGCTCAGTGGTTCTGCCGCCTGCCTTGCAGACTCAAGGACCCAAGTTCGATCCCTGGTACCAAAAAACAAAAATTACACAACACATAGAAAGAGTATTTGTAGTCATTGTAAAGCCAAGCGTCATGCTGATTTTTAAGCATCATTTGTATTACCTGTTCTTTCGAGATAAATACTCATTAGAAAATTACAGTATATTCAAGATACTACACTATTGCAGAGGAAAGCCTCTGAATAAATATTAATGTTATTTCTGTGTTTATGTCTGTACCATAAAAGCAACTTTGCAGCCCTCAAAATGTGAACTGCAGAGATCTAGAGGGCCGGCATTCTACACCCTTGCACTTTGCAGCAGGCTATAATCGTGTGTCTGTTGTGGAGTACCTTCTACACCATGGTGCCGATGTCCATGCCAAAGATAAAGGGTGAGTGTTCAAATACAGTGTCTAGTGTCTTTCTCTTCACATACGTCATAAAAAGTTTGTAAAGTATTTTTGAAGTCAGATTTTTTCCCCATTAAAAAAATAGTACATATGTTCTTTTGTTTAAATCATATATTAAAACTTTATGGGAGGTACAGTATAGAAAGTGAAAATTCCATTGGCCCACCACCTAGAAATACAGAATGAACATTTTTAAATGTAATTCTGCAGCTGTTGCAGCTGTGTGGACCCGTATGTGTGTGCTGTAGTGGTGGTGGTTTTAAACAAATGGTAATGTGGCTCTACATAGTCTTTTTGCATTTCACCGTGAATGTGTTTCCACATCAGTACTCAGTAGCTCATCTCACCCTTTTAATACCTGCATATAGGATTTTACTGCATTGTGTGAGTGTTTTCACATAGTTTGTCATTTACCGTCTACCCCTTTTTTTGCTATTAAAAATGCATAAACTCTTCCAAAAAGAAGCTATCCATTCCAGAGTCAGTATTAATAGAAATATAACTTTATTTTTACTAATTCAACTATGCTGATAAATTATTTGACTTTATTCAAACAAAGCTTAAAGTAACCATGGCAGCTACTTAGAAATGTAAGGAAGTTTTCACTGAAATGAATTTTTTGTGTTCTGAGTTAATTCCATATCTTCTCAAAATAAGCCACTATGTTACTGTACAATTACGTAGCACAGTGCTGTAGAATTGAACTGCACAGTATAGGCTTCCATTAACCATTGTATGTTTTTAAGGGATATATCAGATATGAATATTCAATAATTTATCACTAGCTCTTTCAAAATAGTATTGGAGAACAACCAGTATTTGTGTTTTTGTTGCTTATTTTAGCACCTAGCATATTTCATCACAAAAAATTTTCTAAAAAGGCACCAATCTCTAAATAAAAAGGCACTTTGTGATATCTTGGTTTTGCCATGTCGAAAATGCAACTTAACTTTATCCATTATGAGGGGAGGGGTGGCACTGGGGATTGGACCCAGGGCATTTACACTGAGCTCTGTCCTCACCCTCTTTGCACACCCTTTTTGTTAGTGTATTTTGGTTATGCAGATTAATGGGTTTCATTTTAAAATAATTTTCTTTTGTCTAGCGGCTTGGTGCCCCTTCATAATGCCTGTTCCTATGGACACTATGAGGTGGCTGAACTTTTAGTGAGGCATGGGGCCTCTGTTAATGTGGCAGACTTATGGAAATTCACCCCTCTACATGAAGCAGCAGCTAAAGGAAAATATGAAATCTGCAAGCTCCTTTTAAAAGTATGTAGTTATAAGTAATTCTTTTTTATTATTACTTGAAATTAGAGTATTTTTCTCTATTAGGAACAATAAGTGCTCTAGCAACTGCTTCCCTCGTCTGTTTTTCTTCAGAGAAGTGTTTGCATGTTATCATGATACCTACATAGCTCTGAGTAGTGCCTAAAGTGTCTTTCTGAATGAATTTGGTTAAGGTCGTTTCATCAAAGTAGGTTTTAGAAAGAGTTGGTTTACCTTGTATTCACACTGTTAATACCAGAAAAATATGGTGTGGTACAAAGGGCAATATATTTAACTCAAGCTGATTTCTTACAATCATTTTATCGTTAATTAGCTCACTCATTATTGCTCTCATTTATATTTTTAAGAACTTACTTGATATCAGATTTTTATTAAAACATAAGTTAATTCTATACGTGTGAACTAGTAGAGTTCAATAATTATATGCATTAATGATAATTTGTGGGTTTTAAAAGTTAAATGATACAAAGCTAGAGAAAAAATGTTCCTGTAAGATATAAATAAGTCTTCTCCCACCACTTTTTTGAGTCTTTAGAAAACTGCTATGTTTGAGAATCATTTTTATTATCACTGATTAGTTTAAAAAAAATAACTTGCAGGTCACTGTTACTCCGCTGTCTAGATTGGATTATTCTTTATGTCCACAGTGGGCCAAGAGCAGTCCATGTCAGGCTTGTAACACCAAAAAAATTGATATTTCCTGCATAGACATATATGATTAAAGTTTTTAAATCAAGATAGTTAATATATTTGTATCTAATTTCATGAAAATTTTTTAAAATGAAAAAATTTGAAAAATGCAAAAGTTTAAAAAGTGGCTAAACTTTTTTTTTAACTGATGGCATTTAGAATTAATCCCTTTCCCACCTAATGTGTTTTATACTTCTCTAATCTTTTTCCTAATACTTACTGCGCATTTGAAATCTGGCCAGAATTAATACCAGGCCATTTGTAAAAGGAAAAGAGGTTTCCACAGACAATTTGTGGAGTCTGAAAAAAAGTGTATTTTAATGATAAGTGAAAGATTCTCAACACCTTCCCCACTTAATCATCAGCACTGATCCTGGACTTTAATTCAGTAGTTAGAAAACTGACCCAATATATTGCTAAGTAAGGAATTTGTAAAATAAAGCAGGATGTGGCCTCTCTCTCTCTCTCTCTCTCTCTCTTTGGGGGGTGGCTTCTCTTTTTGAAAATGCATATAGATTACAGAGCTTTCCTCAGTGGCTAAAGGTGAAGAAAGTTAAACAAGTAAATATGTACATACTACCTGCCATGCAAACCTCGTTTGTTTTACTTTATAGCATGGAGCAGATCCAACCAAAAAGAACAGAGATGGAAATACACCTCTAGATTTGGTCAAAGAAGGGGACACAGACATTCAGGACCTACTGAGAGGGGATGCTGCCTTACTGGATGCTGCCAAGAAGGGCTGCCTGGCAAGAGTGCAGAAGCTTTGCACCCCAGAGAATATCAACTGCAGAGACACCCAGGGCAGAAATTCTACTCCTCTGCACCTGGCAGGTAAGCATCACCAGTGCTGCTAAGCCTTGCTTTCCCTTTTTGGGTACCTACTATGGTTTACCAAAAGATGAACAAAATGCTGAGCAGCATGAAGGAAACTACTTAGTAAAATGCATTTGAGTGACATAATTTAGTATAGTTTCTTAACAATGAAAGCTCTTGATTGTGTCATAATAGTTTTAGTTATTGAAGCAAACAGAATTAAACTTATAACATTTTTCTGTTCAGTATATGTAAATTTTTTTTTTCTGTTAAGCTGACATGTTTGCTTTTTTTTTGCTCTAATAGCAGGCTACAATAATCTGGAAGTAGCTGAATACCTTCTAGAGCATGGAGCAGATGTTAATGCCCAGGACAAGGGTGGTTTAATTCCTCTTCATAACGCAGCATCTTATGGGGTAAGCATGCTAACATTAAAATCAAGGAGACTTCCTTATTACTTTAGTAAATGTACACTACACACTAAAGACATAGATATCTTGCTATCAATGGCATATCAGTTAACACTATTTTAATCTTCTGTCAAGCTTTATCTCATCTTCTCAGCTTACCTATTTTTTGGCCAACAACCATGCTTTTTAAAGCTTTTGGTCACTCCATATTGTCTAGCACAATAATAAATGTGAAATGTATGTTCAGTAGTACTTATGGACACCAATAATATATCTTAGTTCTACTTCAGTTATGGTTTAGAAAAAGTATAAAGGCCAGGAGTCTCCTATAGAGGTATGGAAATTATGGTGTCTAATATTTATCGTCAGCATCTCAAAAGTGTTCAGATAAGTGGTTGAGCAGTGGGTATACATAGTTTCATAGAATTTGATGACTAAATAAAACCCCACAGTGCAAGTCCAGCATTACCGTTAAGGCTATCAGCTAGAAGATGAAGGGATTGTAAGGCCTGGATGCCATTTGTCAGAACTGACTGACTAGTAACCAAGGCCTTCTCAGGCTTGATGTCTTACTACAACAAAAGTCTAACAAATTATATATAAAAATCAAATTAATTACTTCTTCCGTTTTTTTGGTATCAGGGATCGAACTTGGGACCTTGAGCTTGTGAGGCAGGTGGTGGCACCACTGAGCTAAATCCCTGGCCTCTTTTCTCCTTCTTACTCTCTTCTTTGCCCTTTAAAATACCTTCATCCTTTCAGATCCATTGTGCAAAGACTGGTATTCCAGGGAGGTGACAGTCTAAATGCAACCATTTGTAAGAAAAGCCAGCAGTCTGGTTTTGAGTTGAACAAACAGAATACTATACTTCTAAATATGATATGAAATAGTTGAAGGTTATGCTTAGTAAATACATTATTAATACTTAAATCTTTTAGAAATTGTAATATTTAAAGTTGCCTTTCCAAAAATGATAAATCTTTCATTAAAAGTGTCATTTTCCTTTAACTTTCACATGAAAGTTTCATTGCATAACAAATATTTCCACTGAAAATCTTGTATACTAATTATTTTGTTGCTAATACAGTACATATGCTTTTTTTTGGTACTGGGGATCAAACTCGGGACCTTCTGCTTGTGAGGCAGTCACTTGGAGAGTAATTTTCAGCACTTCTTAGCAGGATTGTTCTCTCCGTATTTATTTTACTAATCCCTTTTCTAAGATTCAATTAAATGTTTATAAATCTGATGGGATCAGTAGAACTTCAATTAGAATACCTTGTTTTCTGTGTAAACCTAATGTATAGATTATACTAATAATGTGATCTCAGAAAACTATGTTACTGTTAACTGCACAGGCAGTGAGAGAGCTCAGGCACTGTGTGGCTGTGGAAAAGTTCTACCCCTTCAGTCTCCTCCTTTCACAGTCTTGACAGGAGTTCTAGAAAAGAAAGAAAGGGTCACCAGTTGACCCCATTCTTACAGGGAGAGTGTTGAGATGCTCATTACTCTACATGTAGGTCATTTGATAACCAGTATAAAGAGAAGAAAATTTTAGTGTTCTCCTTTTTGCCTGAAGAGTAGTGTAATATACAGGTTGATCCTGTCTTGTTTCCTGCTCCTTTGAAGCTGTCTTGTCATTCATTAGGTGAAGAGAGGTGTAAGGCAGGCATTACGGTGAACAGCAGCCCATAGTTCTATTTTCATAAATTTATTTCACTATTACCATAATTCTTGTTCTCCTTTTCTATCTCCAACTGAGAAATAATATTTTTCCACTATCTCTTTTATGTTATACCACTTGTTGTCAAATCCCTACTGCTTAGTTCTATAAAATAAAGGTAACTTACTGAGATGAAAATGAACAGAAAATTCTCCAAGCTGTGTATAAATAGGCATTTGCTGGAGGTTTTGACTAGCCTAGTTCATTCTGTTCTCATTCTAAAGAATGAATGTGAATTAGGTAATTTTTATTTTACTAGAACTTTTACTTTGGTAATTTCTTGATACCCCCCCCGCCATATCTTTCACATGTGCCCTGGACCCCCTCAGTAGTCTCTCATGGCACAGTGATTCTCTCAGATGGCAGCAAGTAAGATCAATCCTCTCCACTGAGAATCTCTTCTCTACAAAATAAGTTGATTTATTTGTAAACCTTTAATGTATTGTCAGTAATCACATCAAGTCACTATGTCTTTTGATCTCAATTAAAATAAGGACTGATGTTAACACAATGATGAATCCCCAACTTTCAGTGATTCGACTTAATATTTTGTAACTTTACAGTGGTGCCAAAGCAGTACACGCTCAGTTAAAAGCCATACTTTAAAATCAGTCTTTCCTCAGGTTTGCAATGTACTGCTATAGTCTTTTTGGGATCCTGAACAGCAGCAGTGAGTCACAGCCCCCCTCTGTCCTCAGATGAGGAGGAATGGCGGATACAGTATACTTTGTTATGAAGTTCAGTGTATTACATGCATTTCCACTTACAGTGGCTTTACCAGGGTGTAACCCATCATAAATCACAGAGCATCTGTATAAAAAATTTTAAATCTACTTTGTCTTGCTTTAACTAAAGGACAGGTGTTTTTATATTACAGAAATTATAAATCTCTTAAAAGTTCCTCTTTACTCATGTTACATGAGTTCATTAGCTGGATATTTAGGACAGCAAAATGCTGCATGTATTATATTGATCTTGGTGGTATTTCAGCTGGCCTGGCCACATAGTTTATCAGATGTGGTGCTGTATCTGGAATAGAGGCTTCTATACTCTAAGTAAAGCAGCTTATAGAGCAGTTTTAGGAAGAGTGGTACCAAATACCATACTCTCTCCTATTTTTACTTTAAGGAAAATTACTCATTTTTTTTTAGTCCAGCAAGACCCTGAAGACATCTGTGATGTCATGAAAAGAGCCTTAACTTGCAGTCTGAACCTTAGGAATGTAGTCTTTATATTCATAAACCTAACTACATAAATGTGCAAGACAGTACTACTGTTAAGAGCATAACTCACTTCTTACAGTGCATTTACCAAGCCGGTCTGGACAAGGGCAACATGCCACTCCTATGTCTTAAAAATAACCTGTACATTTGACCAGCTCCACATCAGTATTAAACAGATACAGATTAATTGAGTAGCCTGGAGATAAAATAAAAATATGAGATGTCTGTGAAAATACAGTTATTTACTTACGCAGTTATATATTGGTGATTACTCCCTCATTCATGTTTACCCTTTTTCCTCTAGAGAACTCAGTTAGTTGTATGTTTTGGGATTACAGACATGTACCACTACATGTAGCTTGTTATACCATGTATGAGATAAAATCCAAAATGCAGTGTACATTTAAACTTTAAAGTGTGTTACACTACGAGATACGTGCCGAGAATCCTCTTCAGAATCCTCCTCGCTTGGAACACATCTCATCATTCCTCCCCGTTTCTGAAGCAGGCCTGGAAGTTCTCTTTTGAGTCTTTAGTGTAATTGTTATGGCTGTCTGAGTGTTCTGAGTGATTCTTTCTTTCCCGGTCATTTTGACTTCAGGGAAGAGCCAGGAGTCACGCAGTGCCAGATCTGGTGACTAAGTGGATGACGACTTACTATCATGTTCTTACGAGCCTGCTTTTCTGTTGGATGTGACTTGGCAGTGACAGTCACCATATTTTTTTATCATACCTTGTAAAGACCCCAGAAGAGTTTGCTAGTTCTCTTTGTCCATTCTTCATTTTCCAGTGTTTTCCGTAAAAGTATAGTATTAGAGGGATTTTATGGCCTCATTGTGATAAAGCACCTGTAACAAATTGCTTTAGCCAGAGCCCAAACATATTTCTCTTCCTTCTAAAATTAAATGAAGGCCTTCCCGGTCTTTTTATGTTGTTTGTCATTTAAAACTTTCTGTCTTGCAGCTGGATTCTGAAACCCTGCTAAACGGACTCTTTCTCCTAGAGACTTTCCAGCAGAGTTCAGTTCCTTTTCTAGGCTTTCCAGTTCAATACTTGGCTGTCCTAGGGTGAATAGAACTGCGCTGCCGCTTATTTACTGCATTTGTCAGCCTTAATTTTCAGTTACTATTTTTGCCCCCATGGCATAGTTACTTAAAAGAATTAAAGAGCTCAAGAATTGTATTTTTATTCTACTTGAGCAGTAATATATTCCTTCCTGTTCATTGCTTTTTCAGACATTTGTCAGCAAGTTTAACAAGCATGTAATTAGTTTTTTTAGCATAAACTATAAATTCAATATAAAGAAAGTTTAATAATACATACTGGATATACAATTGGTTTTATACATACACATACAGAAACGCATAATTTTCCTTGGACTATCTAATTTTGGAAGCCTTTGCAATTAGTCTACCAAATTATATTACTCTGCCAATAAACATGGAAGTGGAATAAAAATTGTTATCAGAAACACGGAGTAAAGGACTTATAGCCTCACTTGAGAGAAGCTTGAAATTATTCCATGCTTTTGGATTACCTGAACAAAAACAGCTTTTCCAACATGTGTCCTTTGAATATGGGAGATAAATTACTGGAGTGTTATTTTGTTTTAATTGATTTCAATAGTATCATACGTGGTACCTCTGTTTTCTTTTATGTTAGAAAGTCTACAAATAATTGAACTCTAAAATTAATTTTATAGTCTTCTAACCCCTAAAGAAGCACGTAGCCTGTCTCAGAAACCCTAGTCTGATTATGCTGCCCGCCTCTACACCTCCACTTCATATCGTCAGCAATGCGCAGCTTATCTTACCAGTTAACTAACCTGTGTGAAATCCTTTGGATTTAACAGACTATTTTTTTTTTTAGTGTCAGGAATCGAACTCCGGGCCTTGAGCTTGCTAGGCAGTCGTTGTGCCGCTGAGCTATATTCCCGGTCCAACAGACTATTTTTTTGTAAAGTGTTTTATTATATTACTTTCCCAAAGATTGGATAAATACCATTTTGAATCTTTGGGATGAGTGCCTTAATAAATAGAACAGATCACACAAATGAGAAGACATATGGGAAGATTACCAAATAAGCAGTAGGTTTAGACTACTCGTCTGAGAGATTTGGCAGGTAGCTTCAACCACTAATAGAAGACCTAGACTCAAGTACAAGTTTGTTTTATGTATTTGTTTTTAATATAGACTTGAATATGCAAGGTTGAATTTTTTTTTAAAAGCCCAGGCAGAATTACAGAGTAAAAGAATACTCGTGGAATTTTTTTGGAGAAAACTAGTCCAAAATACAGGTAGAGGGACAAAATATTCTTTTTACTTTAGAAGAAACCTCTATAAATGATGAGAATACAGATGTAGAAAAAGTAAACTGTTAGGAGAATAACGGTGCGCACGATGGTACGTCCAGATGTTCTCATTCTTAACTCTGCGTCCTTTTATATTTCCTCAGCATGTTGACATAGCAGCGTTACTGATAAAATACAACACATGTGTAAATGCAACAGATAAGTGGGCGTTTACTCCTCTTCACGAAGCAGCCCAAAAAGGAAGGACACAGTTATGTGCCCTACTCCTAGCACATGGTGCAGACCCGACTATGAAGAACCAAGAGGGTCAGACGCCTTTAGACCTGGCAACAGTGAGTCCTCACTTCAGATATTGACTGTTATTCACGATAAGCTCGGAGATGACATTACTTTCTCCAGCTCAGTAGGTTTACCTTTAGTAGTGTTTACTTTGTTTAGAATAAGAACAGATTTCTTTAAGCCACACTCAAAAAGACAAGTACTGCATGTTTTCTCTCAAAAGTGGAATCTAGGAAAAAACAAAGAGAAGAATATGACACAAAAATAGAGTGGAGACTGTTAGAGAAGAGGGGCTACTTAGGGGTGGGTGAATGTGATCAAATTGGGAAACATGCATTTATGAATATATCAGTGCAACCCATTATTCAATAAAATAATGAGCACTAATTAAAACATTTTCTTCTGAAAATTTTTTGAAATTCGCATTTGTTATATTCAAAATTTTGTTAAATTAACTTCATTAAATACTTGAAATTAGTTAGAAGAAGAAAACATGAATCATAGGGAAACATTTCTAGCGTGGATCCTCAATTACATTTAGCAAAATATCGTGAAAATCTATAGATGGCTGTTGTTGTAGAGCAACTAATGTTCATTAAAATATATATGTAGTATATTGCATATATATTTACATATGTGATATATCTACATATCTACAGTGTGTATTTATATATTATATATTAATGTTTATATAAATAAATATTGCATGTATTTGAGATAAACCAAAAAATTCACTCTAGCCAGACATTATTATGAAAGTGGAAAAGTAAATTACTATACTATAAAAACATTTTTAAAACCAAGAATTTAATTGCTAAATTAAACACTGTTTCATCTCCAAACTTTCTGAAAGTCAAGGAATCAAGTCAATCATTATAATTTTGAGCCAGAAAGAATTTTTCCAGGTTATATTCTATTTTATTATTTATTGCTGAGTAACAGACTATTTCGAAACAGTAGCTTAAAATAATAACCATTAATAATATCTCATGACTCCTCACATTCGCTAGAATATTCTTTCCCTGAACTCATTCAGCTGCTACACCTGTCGGCAGAAGCAGGAACATAAAGATGCTTCCCTGATGAGCCTCGGGCAGAGGCAGCTGAAGAATGGAACTATTCTCCCTGTCCCCACCTGGTGTCTCATCATTAAGTAGTCTTGTTTCAGTTGTTTTTTTTTGTTTTGGGTTTTTTTTGGGGGGGGGTGGCAGTTCAAGAGAGAGGTGGCAAAACCTCTTAAACACCCACCATATTCTCTTGTGCATAGCAAGTTATGAGCAGCCAACCTACATAAAAAAGATAGAAAAATAGATTCTACCTCCTTTAAGGGTGAAACAAAGATTTTGTAGTGGTCTTTAATCTATCAGTGTCCTTCCCTGTGGCCACAAGTTATGTGTATTTCTCTCACATTCAAACTATATTCACAGTCCTCCCAAGATGGCCAAGTGGCTGTCACTGGTCCATAGCAATTCTGAAATCCAGTTCAGGCATTATGTTTCCAGAGCCATCTACTCAGGAGTCAGGGAATGGTCCTTGATTCGATCCCCCTTCTGCCTCCAGGGAGTGTTTTCATGGTTTTCTGTAGCACTGGCTATCTTCTGGATCATCCTACTCTTTCCATAAGAAATGATCCATCTATACAGTTAAATGGCTTTCACAACCTGCTTCTTGCTCCTAGAAATGTGGGAGCCAAGAGTCTCTCTTCATTTTTTATTTATCTGTTCCTTTAGTCCCAACTGGTATAGTTTTAAACATGTTTCCTATCAAGTTAGTTACTGCATTTGACAGAAGCCACAGCCACAGTTCTCTTCACAGTAAGTCCCTCTCTGATTTGGATTGCGAGTCAGGGTACTGTGGAGCAGTGTCCTCAGAGAATCTTTTTTATCTAGCTCAGAGTTCAGAATCTACCACCTTAAAGGTCTTGTTAAGGCTTTTCAGTCATATATCCAATCCAGTGAATTGATTTTTACTCTGAGGCCATGTTTTGTTGTTAACATTCTGTATTTGATCTTTGGCCTGGACTGTTTTTTCTTTGAGAAAGTCTTGCTGGTAGGAAGGCTGAGGATAACGGATAATTTTATTTTCCAACTTAGCATATCCTGGTGAATATATTTCCTTTAAGAGAATAAAATAGTTCTTTCTTAATTCATTTCTCACCTGCTATACCTTATTATGGGCAAATAAGTCGGTTCAGTGGGCAGTCAGCATTCTTGAAATCTCCCAAGACAAATCTACAAGTTTCTTAGGCTCCTTTGGCCTTCCATAGTACTTCATTTGCCAGTGCTTGCAGACACTTTACTGCACAATATCACTTCCCATTTTTAGCCTTCAGTAGTAACTGCCTGTCTCCAGCTTCCACTAATGGTCACCATGCCACGCTAATGGCTCCTGCCAAAGCCACACCACAGGTTTTTGTCATAGCAACATGCTACTTCCATGTACCAGTTTCCATGCCTGGCATTTAAAAGAAAAAAAATCACAGAGTGTTTGGTACTTAATGAAAAACTTAACATTATGATACAGTGTTTTGTTTTGTTTCGTTATTCTTTGTAGGCCGACGATATCAGAGCCTTGCTGATAGATGCCATGCCGCCAGAAGCTTTACCTACCTGTTTTAAACCTCAGGCAACCGTAGTGAGTGCTTCTCTGATCTCACCAGCATCCACCCCCTCCTGCCTGTCTGCAGCCAGCAGCATAGACAACCTCACAGGCCCTTTAGCGGAGTTGGCAGTAGGAGGAGCCTCCAATGCAGGAGACGGAGCGGCCGGTACAGAAAGGAAGGAAGGAGAAGGTGTGTGGAGCCTCTTAAGTGTGTGGAACACTTACTTCATTACATCTTTTTTAATGGGACAGATTCACTTTTTTCTGCAGTTACTGAGCATGTCACGTAAAAATATCCTATCTGCAAATTTTTGAACACATAACATCTTACAAAAATGTGTTTTCATAGCCGCCAAGTTCCTTGGCATCTACGTTGTTATTTATTTATACTGTATTCTTATATGTCCATCTCCAACCATAGTATCTTACGGAACTACTGAGTGAGTCTTATTACTGAAATTACATCAGAAAAAATGGATTATTTAAGGGACGTACACTAAAGGATTTTTTTGATTTTTAATTAGTTAAAATATTGTTATATAAAATAGCATTTTATGCTATTAAAATATAATTCCAATATTCTATACTTAATATTTTAGAATTCTGTATTCTAGCTGTAGTTAGAATTAATATATATACTACTGATGTGATAAAGCACTCTGCTTTTATTTCTCAGCCAAACTCAGGTAGAACTTGAAATACCTGAATCGACGTGTTATGCTATATAAAATCTTCTGTATAACCAAGGAAAGTGTCTTTAAGTGGATATTGAAAGTTTCTTTAGATTCATAAAATTCTTTGAGAATCTTAATTTAATATGTTTCTGTTCTAGTTGCTGGTCTTGACATGAATATCAGCCAATTCCTAAAGAGTCTTGGCCTTGAACATCTTCGGGACATCTTTGAAACAGAACAGGTAAACTGTTTTTATATGTAATTGCCATCCATTTTTTCTTCCTTTACAACTGTTTTAAAACCTGTGTCACACAGGCCGGGGATTTAGCCCAGTGGTGCCTCCGCCTTCCTCTCAAGTACAAGGTCCCGAGTTCCATCCCCGGTACCAGAAAAAACCTGTATCACATTTCTGTAGAAGCCAGAAGATCCCGACATTTTATACTTCTCCCATAAATTATCTGAACACCTTAGTGTCTTTAATTGTTACCGTGTTTTGTCTGTATAAGCATTCTTGTTGTGTACATTTTGTCTCCTGTCAAAACTTAAAGAGACTGAGGGATGAGGGGATAGCTCATCTAGCATGCAAAAGGGCCTGGGTTCAGTCTCTAGCCCTGCAGAAAAAAATCTAGGCCATAAAACTCTCTCAAAGAATGCTTTCAAAATTGTCTCCCCTATCTCTCTCTCTTTAAAAAATGTATTAATGGGCCAGGGATTGAGTTCAGTGGTTCCGCCACTGCCTTGCCAGCACGAGGTTCCGAGTTCGATCACCGGTACCAAAAAACAAAAAATGTATTAATATTTATTCATTTCATTTCATTAGTGTCAGTAATCAAGATCCTTCTATGTTCATGCTGTTTTTTTACTGGATAATAAGTTCTTCATATTGCATATGCTTATTACCATGGTCAGTATTAAATACTGGAAGATCATTGATACCTGAGTTTAAATTAACAATAACTGGGCTGGGGATTTAGCTCAGTGGCACTATGCCTGCCTTGCAAGTGCAAGGTCCGAGTTCGATCCCCAGTTCCACAAAAAAAAGAAAGAAAGGAAGGAAGGAAGGAGAGCAGGAAGGAAGGAATTAACAATTACTGATATACATGGAGTCTTAGAGTTGGAAAAGTGTTTACAGATCATTAAGTCATTCTTCTAGGTTTTCCATGTCAGGCCATTTGGCAGGGATGATAGATCACTTGTTACAACTTTGGGTAAGTATAATAGAATCCTTGTAGCTTAAATTATGCCAAAATCTGCCCCTATATTTAATCCATTTGTTGCAGGTTTGTTTACTAAGTTTTGCTCAGAAATCTAATCTGCAGTCTACATATGTATTGTTTTATAGGCCTGCTGTAATAAATTACCACAAACTTGGTGGCAAAACAGAAATGTATTCCCTCTAGTCTGAAATCAAGATGATGTTAGGGCTGCACTCCCTACAGAGGCTGGAAGAGAGAAGCCTCTCAGGTCTCGTCCAGCTCCCTTGGTTACAACCACATTACTTTAGTTCCTGCTTCCATCTTCACGTGGCCTTCTCATCTGTCTGCCTTCTCTGCTTCTCTTATGAGACTTGAGGGCATGTCTTACTGGATGTTTGGCCTGCCCTGTGTTATCTTGGATGATGATCTCATCTCGAGCTCTTTACATATGGAAACTCCTTTTTTCTGTGACTTTCACAAATACTAGGGATTAAAACCTTGGTATTTCTTTTTGAGAGTCACCAACGTAGTACAGCCTTGTATATCTTTTTAAACCTAGTCAACTTTTCATGGAGTTTACCCTTCCAGTCACTTACGTTTACAATCTACCCCTGTTTTAGGAGAAATATTCTGACTTTTTCAATTATTCTCTATGTGACATAGCTTCTAAATTCTTCACCAGTCTTTGCCCCATTCTGGCTTCGTTGTAGACTTACAGTCAATCTGTAGCTAATTAAAACCCCCAGGTCTTTTTTCTTTTTTTCATGCTTTTTCTTAAATTTTAGCTAATTTCTTTTTATTATAGTTCATCACTAATACTTTTAATGATCAAAATAGTTGAATAGAAATAACACTGGACTAAATGAAGACCTTGATTTTAATTTTCTCCCTCTTACTAGCTGTGTAAATTTTGGTTGAGAGACATTTAACCTGTCACTTTGCTTAACTGTATAGAACCTACAGTGTCCAGAGATTCCAAGCAACAGTGTGCCAGTTTTGAAAACATGCTTTAGTAAACACATCTCATGGTTCTTCTTTTTGGTGGTGAGGACATAATAGGCTGCTATAAAATTTTCCTTTTGGTACCATTTATTCATCTTCTGATTTATAGAAATCTCTTAGGTAAATATTATAAAGAGTAAGAATTCTTTTACTTGATTCCCTTCCTGAAGGTTTTTGTGTTGACACATTATCCTGCTACAGCCACATTAAAGGCATATCCCTTCATTCTAATTATATCCACAATAAGTGTGGAATTATAAATACTTTTTCACTTAATAAACCTACTTGGAACAAGTACAGTGGTACCTTGATTCACAAGTACTTTTGCTTGCAAACAGTTTGGTTCACAAACAGAAGTGTTTGGCAAGATTTTGTTTTTGTTTGCAAACTCTGCTTTGGGTGACAAACATGACCACAGTTATCTTCCCCACACAAATACCAACAAATGTGGCCATCTTTTCTAAAACCATAGAAGAAATTTTTCCAGAATTGTAGGAAACAGTTGGTGAACTGAGGTACCATTGTAATAGTGTATCAATAAAAGAAACAGCAAGGAAAGCAGATTAAGGGCCAGGGATGTAGCTCAGTGGCATGAGCCGGCCTGATAAGCACCAGGTCCTGAGTTCAGTTTCGGGGTCGGGGGCAGGTGAATTGGATTTTAGACATGTTGTTCCAAGATTCAGGGCTTTTATAGTTCTGTAAGCTGCTAGAAATATCTTCTTGAACATCATTTTAAAGTGACTCACTCTTAACTTTTAGTTATATCCAGATAATCACAAGTCTTTTGGGCTACTTATATCTAGCATACATTTTCAATGGGATATCAATAGATAGTAATTAAAGGCACATCTAAATAAACATGTAAAGGCTTTATTATTTTATGAACTGCTCTGTTTCAAAGATATCTATTTCAGAACTGTTGATTTCAAAAGCTCTGATGAAAACTTCCTTTGGGTGATTCAAAGTGAATTGCCCATTTTGTGCAGTGGAGCAACGATTTCTTAAATGGCCACTTAGAAGCAATATACTAAATTACTTCAGAGAATGAGTGATGTGTGCTCATTGCACCAAGATGATCAGACTCATATAATATTTCATTCTGACAATAAAAATCAGCTCCAGGCCTAATTTGTCAATTTTTTTTTTAAGGTTTTGTCCAAGTAGGATAGAAAAAGCTATGGCTAGACTACAAATGTCTCATTTGACTTACAAAAGGAGGGCCTATAAAAGGATTTCTCAGTTTTCCAGGGAAGTAGAAAATCAAAAGCTATGTTTGGATTGTCACAGAGCCCACTTCTAAGTTGTGAAATTATAGATTGAGCCCACCAAAGATGCGGCTGCCCACTTTCATCCTGTACATTCAGAACACTGCCACTGGGTGGTAGCACAGTCACGGCTACTGTATTAGATACTTACTGATTTGATAGTAGATACTTTTGAGCCAGATGGATAGTCTTAATCGTCTCCGTCCACAGGGATGAATAACCAAAAATTTCAAACCACTATCTGTACAGAAGCAGATTGTGTTATGTGGCAGGGATTGTTAAACCTTAGAGTCTCTGAGAGATTTAAGAACCATTACTCTTTCCCTGTCCAAACTGGAATATTTTGTATAGCATCTCCATAAACTGACCTCTAACTTAAATATGTACTTCAGATCTAAATCTCACTACTTTGCAGGCAGCCTGTTCCTCCTACCTTGACTATGTGTCAGCAGGGGAATTTCCTTATCGTTCCTAAAATCGGCTTACCTGAAACTGCGTACTCCACATTCTGTTTAACTGTACCAAACATTTCTCCTTTTCCCCTGCCATTCCTTTCTATTACCTGCTGGCTTCTGGGTTATGGCATTTTCCTATTTTCAAGCTACTGATCCCTACTAAGCCTCAAGGCAAACAGGAGATTGTAGAATTAAATCATCAAGGAGAAATATAGTGATGATCATTTTGTATGTCTATAAAACTGTTTTTTCCTTTTTATTTCTCCACTGATTTAAAGCAAACGGTATTTCAAGTTAGAAAAAAAGCTGATAAGATAATCAAGGAAACTGAGAAAATTGTAAGGTCATGCTTACAAAAGAAATAAAAGAATCTTTAAAATTGGTATGGTGATCACAGCATTGTAGACAAATGGAAGTGCTTTTCTGTTTTTGTTTTTCGTACCAGGGATCAAACTGGGGTCTTTGTGCTTGCGAGGCAGGCGGCAGAACCACTGAGCTAAATCCCTGGTCCCAAATGGAAGGTGCTTTTGTCATCTGAGGAACTGCTAAAGATTTAGCAACTAATTTTTTTTTTTTCAGATTACACTAGATGTGTTGGCTGATATGGGTCATGAAGAATTGAAAGAAATAATACTGAGCTAAATCCCTGGTCCCAAATGAAAGGTGCTTTTGTCATCTGAGGAACTGCTAAAGATTTAGCAACTAATTTTTTTTTTCAGATTACACTAGATGTGTTGGCTGATATGGGTCATGAAGAATTGAAAGAAATAGGCATCAATGCATATGGACACCGTCATAAATTAATCAAAGGAGTAGAAAGACTTTTAGGTGGACAACAAGGTAAGCTATTTCGAAAAACATTTCAGACATTAGTGGTACACGATTACCACTGGGGCTGGCATTGGCACTCAGGCAGTCTGACCACAGAATCTGTGCGTATAACTCTTACAGAATCTCCTGTCTTCCCCATCTCAGTGATCAGCGTCACACTCCCACTCAGTGCAAGGTCTGAGCATCATTCTGCCCTCTCTCCCTGTACTTTATATCCTGAGTCCTCTGTTATCTCTTACTGTATCTCTTACTGTACTTCTGATTTTTCCCACTGTTTTTACCTAATTCGAGCCACTGTTGCCATCCTCTCCTGGACTGTCACAGCTTGTGTCAGCTTGTCTCTAGCCTTCACCTTTGCTTTCTTCCAATACTTTTCTGCACTGTAACAGAGGGCTGTTCAAAATGAGTGTATGACCAAATCACTCCATTACTTAGTCCTTCAATAGGACCCCATAGCTTTTTGGATGAAATCAGACCCTGATAACCCAGATCTTCATAATCTGACCTTTCTTAACTAACCTTGAACCTTTTTTTCTCCCTTATGACTTTCAGCTCAGTCTTTTTCCATTGTCCTTTGTTGTTACAAGCTTCTTACATTTCTTCTTCATGTTTATTTCTGTTGGATATAGTTTCGCTACAGCAAGGCAAGGGATTAGTCAAGATACAGAGCTAATAAAATTTCAAGAGTGCCAAACTAAAAGGAAGTTATGAACTTGATTCTAGCTTACTTACCTTATTTTAGACCATCCATGAAACTGACAAGGATAATGTGTTATAAAGCTACTGTGATTTTTCAAGCCACCCAAGGAGAGGTTCTGAGGACAATTCATATGTTTTAGACTTAACTACGTTGTAATTTCAATGTGGTACTTTCTGTTTTGGTGCCAGGGATTGTACTCAGGACCTTGTGCTTACAAGGCAGGCATGGTCCCACTGAGCTGAATCCCCGGTCCTGTGTGGTACTCCTGTGTGAGGCATATCTTCATGTGTGTTCTTCATTGATTTAACTTAAACAAATGTTTGTTAAGACCTTCTCTGTACGGAAAGCTCAGTAACAACAGATAAAATGGATCCCCAAACACATCACTTTTGGTGATTTGTGCAATATAACCTTACGTTTGATGTTCACATTGAAACTAGTTTAGACTTGTACCAAAATGCCAATTATTTATGAGTAATTTTTTTCTAAAATAAAGCCTTGCATAGAATGGACTTGTGTGTTATATGTTGATTTTTTTTCTCTTACAGGAACCAATCCTTATTTGACTTTTCATTGTGTAAATCAGGGAACTATTTTGCTAGATCTTGCTCCAGAAGATAAAGAATATCAGTCCGTAGAAGAAGAGGTAATGGGCTCCAGAAATGTTCATTTTCTTTTCCTGAAACTGTAGTTAAATCTATTTTTCCGGAAGATACAAGCGTTTCTTACACTTCTCTATGATCACTTACCTACTGATCATTCTCCTTTGGCTGTTGTAATGGAACATTGCCAGAAATAAAACATGACTGTAGGTTAGAACTGTGCCATATTGTTTTCACTTGACAAGCCTGACTCATTGTACAGTAGATCTGGCTTTTTATTTTGGAAACTTCCTTGAAAGTCATGCACATAAAGAGCCTGTTAGGGCTATTTCTTATATTAGAATGCTATCTAAGAATAATATAGAGTGAGAATCTTGCCTCATAGATAGCAAGTATCTTCTAATCTTTATTTTTATACAGTTAGAAAATGTCTAATTTTCATAGATGTCTTGGAAGTCCGCCACGTAATTCTCAAGCACCGTAGTAAGGCTGTTTGAACCTGCTGGTGGCATGGAGCATCCCTTTCTATTAATGGCTTGTGCTTCCTTTCTTACCCATAATTTCATTATTATAAGTAAGCTGCTTGATTCTACAGTTCTGCTAATACATAAGCAGATGAAAATATACTTAAATTTAAGTTTGTTTGGTTTGGTTTGATACTGGGGATCAAGCTCAGGACCTTGCACTTGAAAGGCACGTAGCAGCACTACTGAGCTAAATCCCCAGCCCTAAGTTTGTTTTTAAGAAACATTCATGTTATTTCCACTCTCATGCTGGGAAGTCAAGACCATTACCTCAGAGTGATATTTTGGCTCATGCTCATTAGGAGGGCATTGCTTCCTTATTTTATTGCCTTTTTTTTTTTCCTCCAGCCTTGCTAGGGTTTGAACTCAAGACCTTGTACACACTACGCAAGAGCTCTACCACTGAGCATACCCCAGTCCAAGAAACATAGGTCTTTAAAACATTTTTACTTTTCATAATTTTTTTTTGTTTTTTGTTTCGTTTTGTTTTTTGAGATAGGGTCTCACTGTGTAGTTGAGACTGACCTGGAACTCACTGTGTAGCCCAGGCTGATCTTGAACTTAAAGAGTGATCCTCCTGCCTCAGCCTCCCGAGTGCTGGGATTACAGGTGTGCGACACCACGCCCGGCTCTCATAATTTTAATTAGAGTAGAAGAACGCATAGTAGGAGAAGAAGAGCTGTTCCATTTAGCTAGTTGCACATTATATTTCCCTTCCCCTTGTCTGTGTAGATATTTCAAACTCCTAACATAAAAACTGTTGGGATAATGTAGACTGATTCACCTCAGGAACAAAATATATTGGATTTCTAGAAATTATTTTTTGTATTTGTCTAAAGGGATATTCAGTATGAAGAGTTTTGATTTAATCACATTGTTACTTCTCAATCTCAATAACATAAAATACTAAATGTAGATGATTTAAAGTGACATTTTTCTGTTTTCCAATTGTGTTTCAAAAAACAACTTCCAAATCTTTCATCAGAAAATGCATAAATTTAATATTTATGACTGTTTTCTCACAGAAATACTTATCTACTAAATTATTGACCAGTTAGATTCATTAGTTAAAACCATATAGGAAAATTGAAATAACAGAAGGAACTGTTGTTAGTATTATACTCGGGCATATTTTCACAAAGTTAATTACCACATTTTGTTTTATAGATGCAGAGTACTATCCGGGAACACAGAGATGGTGGTAATGCTGGTGGCATATTCAACAGATACAATGTCATTCGAGTAAGTTTAAAACTTTTATAGTGGAAACTGTACTGCAAGGCTCACCTGAAAGTCACATTTAAACAATGAAAACAAAAAATTAGGTCATATTTTCAAACTGTCGCAGATCATCACCTGTTCTACTGATGTCAAAGTCTCTCACTACAATTCAGCCTCGTAGTCTGAAGGACTGTGCTTCACTAGGACGTGACACAGCCTGAAACAGCAAACCTCCACACGGAAGGCAAAGTCAGCCTATATCGGTGACGAATTTATGGACATGAGTCTCCCAGTTCATCCACACATTTGGACTGTACAGAATGAATATATTTCTTATTTATAATAGAGAATGGCTAACTGTTACATGCTTTCAAAGGGGCATCGTGAATAAGAGTAAAATCTATTATGAACCAGTCACCCTTTGAGTTAACAGAACTATGGAACTTATACTGATGCCCATCAGAATTTACCGGAGAGCTTATTTTAATATGTTATTACTGCTCAGCTGCGTTTATTGTTTTTTTGTTTATTTGTTTGTTTCTGGTACTGGGAACCAAACTCAGGACCTTGCACTTGCAAGGCAGGCATATCACCACTGAGCTGCATCCCCAGCCCTCATGGATTTTATTTTAAAAACACAGATTTATAGGACCCTCAATCATTATGCCTAGGAACAACCTCTTATTTTTAAACTCCTGAAATGGGTTTGAGGTAACAGCCCAATCTGATACAGAGTAGCAAATACTGTAACTAAAATTATGTCACTCACAGCCAGTGCATTAGCTGAATCCCACTGTATCACTTTTAAAGGTCTTCAGCAAACAAAACAAATTGACTCCTCCTAAAGAAAACCATTCTTAAATAATAAACATTTTACTGATAACTAACTTCTTTCTTCATCATAAAGATTCAAAAAGTTGTCAACAAGAAGTTGAGAGAGCGATTCTGTCACAGACAAAAGGAAGTATCTGAAGAGAATCATAACCATCACAATGAGCGCATGTTATTTCATGGTGAGTAGCCTAGTAGTTGTAGACATCTGTCTAAGCTTTTATAAAATGAGTATCGTTAAAAAAAGGAAAAAGGCCAGTTGTGGTGGCGCACACCTGTGATCCCAGCACTCAGGAGGCTGAGGCAGGAGGATCGCTGTGAGTTTGAGATCAGCCTGGGCTACATAGTGAGTTCCTGGTCAGTCTCAACTACACAGTGAGACCCTGTCTCAAAAAAAAAAAAAAATCTGCGTGATTAGCCTTTATAGGCTTGAGTTAAAATGGTTTGTTGTGGTTTTCTTTTTTGCAAATACATACAAGTTACTGGCTCCAGATACATTATATATATTATAGGCTTGCCCAAGGCATATACAATGAAAATAACTTAGCTGATATTTTTTTAGAACTTAAATTGCAAGTTGAGCCACTTATTATTTTTTTGCTTTAATTATTTTAGTTTATCCCTTGCGAATTTACGTTAAAATAGTCTGTATTTCTAAAACCACATTTTGCTTTTCCTGTCTAAAATCTCATGCTGTCTGCAAAATCCATATAGCATTCTTGTTTAACAAATACCATATGGGTTTTATATGGACAAATACTACTAAGATTCTAGAACAGTACAGCAGCATGTGTAAGCCATCTTTTAAAAATACACTTTTTTACTTACACGTTATTAATTAATATTCATCTACTTGTTGCAAATAATATGGAGCCAATTGAGAGTCTAGAAACGTGCTTAAAAACTAATCTGTCTTTATATTTTTAGGTTCTCCCTTCATTAATGCCATTATTCATAAAGGGTTTGATGAAAGACATGCATACATAGGAGGAATGTTTGGAGCCGGGATTTACTTTGCTGAAAATTCCTCAAAAAGCAACCAGTACGTTTATGGGATTGGAGGAGGAACAGGCTGCCCCACACACAAAGACAGGTCTTGTTATATATGTCACAGGTGAGCATCTTGTCTTTTGTGAAACCGTTGCTACCTGCAGCTGGCTTATACACAGTTAAGGTAAACTGAAGTGAGGATTAAAATTAAACACACAAGTTTATGTCTTGGCTGGGATTTCCTAGCAAGTGTAGCCTGAAGTTACAGCATTTGACTAACACTTGTTTGACATGTATAATCCCAGGGAAGTAGGAATAAAGGCACAAAAGGAAGTCGAAAGGGAAGCAGAGCAGAATAGTGCAGTTAATTGTCCAGCTCATAAGATCTCGAGAGAGCCTGTGTGAACTGTACCCTCCATCTCAGAACAATGCATGACATATTAGTGGGAAAGGGGAAGGATTCATCTGCTGCTCCCATCTTACATCGGTCATCGTTTTCCCCTGTGGTTTCGACTGGGTGTCTACATAATGCATGGAACTGCGCAAGGAAAGTCAGTGAACAGACATGGGTCAGGACTTCCACCTGTACTCCTGCAGCCGGCAGCCTCGTGGACTGGGCTGGTAGGACCTGTGAGTGAGGTCAAGTGTGTGTCATCACGCAGACAAGGAATGCAGACTAATGACAGCACACTGCTGCCACATCGTAGAGATGGAGCTCAAAAAACTTGTTTGTAGAGCAGTGATGGCGAACCTTTTAGAGACACGTGCCCAGACTGCAACCCAGAACCCACTTACTTACTGCAAAGTGCCAACCCTGCGGTTCAGCCTGAATACTGAGGTTTTAGTTTAGAAAAAAACAACTCAGGCATTAACATCTCTGGTCTTAAAAGAAAAACAAATAATATGCATGCCATGGGTTTGCCTCCACTGGTTTATAATAAATCTGTAACTCAAATGCCATCCACTCATGCACATAAATTTGAAAGTAATATTTAAATTGGCGTGCCTTGTTATTTTTTTTTTTAATTCAATAAACAACAGTTATTCTAAGATTTGAGACTTCCTTCAGAGCGTTGCTTTCCTTTTTCTTTAGACAAATGCTATTCTGTAGAGTGACCCTTGGAAAATCCTTTCTGCAATTCAGCACCATGAAAATGGCCCACGCCCCACCAGGACATCACTCAGTTATTGGCAGACCAAGTGTCAATGGGCTGGCATATGCTGAGTATGTCATCTACAGGGGAGAACAGGTATGCTACTTACCCAGTCGTTAAACGTGTCGGCACAGCCAATACAAAACACTGAGATGGAAGAAAATCTTTAAATGGAATGTCTGCTGCATGGCTTGAGAGCATTAGTCATTTCCAGCACCAGCATGGATTTTAAAGTAACATGACAGGAAAGACTATTTTTTAGCCCCACTTCGTCCCTTCTATTACTGCAGTTCATTGATTCCCTACCTTAAATCACTGTGGACTTTGATATGATTAATCAGTATTTTAAACTTTGCCCAGAAATAATTCATCATCCTATTGAACAGCACTCAGATAAGGAGCTTGAAGAAATTGATACCATTAGAGTCTTCAAATATCTCTAACTAAAATTTTCATGTATCAGAGATCACATTAAACAGCATGCTACCAAGATGCTCTTGCTCATTCCCGCGTAAGCAGCTGCCCTGCAAACTAAAAGAAAGTATTAGAGCAAGTATTGCATATAGTAGGTTTTTCTGGGGTAAAAGCAAGTAGGAACAAGTTTCACACTCATTTTTCATGTGTAGCAGATGTCAACAAGGGTTAGTTTTTAGTTTTTAGTTCCTTCTTGTTCTTTATCTTATCTTCCCAGACTAGATTATCAGCTTCCTGACAGCAAGGTCCCCACCTTACACCAGAGTGTTTTGTATATAATAGAGGCTCGATAATTATTTATCAATGATGAATACATAATTTTCTTAGCCAGTAAACCATTTGGTTGACTAATCAATATTTCCTTTTTCTAACAGTGTATGAGCTTTGCTACATTCTTTATAACCAAGTCTAGAATTAACTGTGTGTGAACCAATTTGTTTTAGTATCTAAAAACTAAAATGCCACCTTAAAACTATTTCAGGGATTAAGCAGTGTACAGATTATAATAAAGAAAAACTTCAGACTTTAGTTATTGAAGTTTACCATTAGAAAATCAGAAGATGCTATTGTGGTTTTTCTCACTATAGCCCACCCTCCCTCCTCCAGGATGTACTTTTATGTTACTTTTTCCTATTTTACTCTGCCCAAGCTCACTCTACAGAGCCAGTTTCTCCCTCCCTCTTTATTTTTACTTTTTCAAATAAACTTTGCTACCATTTTTCACTCATTTTGTCAGAAAAGGAAAAGGTCAGGAGAGATTGTCATCCTTGGTTATTCCAACAGGGAATGCCAGTGATGAAAACAGATTTTTTTTTTTTTTTTTTTTTGAGACAGGATCTTGCTATGTAATTCAGGCTATCCTTGAGCTCACTATATAACCAAGGCTGGCCTCAAATTCATGACAGAACTGCCTTAGCCTCCCAAGTGCTGAGATTATAAGTGTGTGCCACCAGGCCTGGCTAGAATTTTTTAAACCACATTTATATTTTTTGTTTTTTTAAAAGTCCTTACTGAGACTTAAGAGGTACTAGTCTGTAATGAGTGATACTAATGACAGTCACACTAATAGAACCAAAACAGAATAGATTCTTACTTTGCTGAGTCTTTTCCAAAACCTTTCTATCTGATCTTCACAGAAAATCCTGTTACTGCAATTGCTACTAATAGATGAGAAAAGCTAAGACATAACAGATTCTGCCTCTTAAAATCAGGGTGTACTAGTTACAAAAAAATAATTCAGTACATCTACCGCATACTTATTTTTGCATTTTAAATACTAATTTGTCCAATTTTCTCTTCTTCATACCTTTTTTTATTGTCTTAATCCATAATCTATATGCAAGTAATTTATAGATCAGCATCAAGCAAATTATTTTGTGACCCCTTCCCCCCAAAAAATACTTTGATTCACAGAGAGTATTATTTTTTATCCACAGGCTACTCTAAGATACTGAGTCTAGTTTTATCATCATGTTATATGTAGGGTTGAAGAAAACTAAAGAGGCTTTTTTTGTTCCTCTTCTTCTAATTTCTGCCTTCATAATAACTTTGGTTAAGATTTATGAGAAATTCCATCTGGTCAGCCTTCCTTTACCGGCTCCTACTAAAAAATACTCTTCGCATTCTAGTTACTGAGCTTTGGGTTTACTAACTGCAAGGAAGAAGAGACCAAGAGAAAGAATAGTGAGAGTGGCAAGTCTGGATCTGAACCATTATCTTTCCTGTGAAAGCTGCCTTGAATTAGTTATTAAAAATTATCCCCAAACTATAGCCTCCTAGGTTACTGATGATTCAAAACATCTTACCCTTTACTCCTCCTAGCTTAGTGAGTTACACATTTTTGTGATCAAAATTCTATTCAGCATAATTATTATTTTGTTTAACAAATTTTATCGGCTATAATATGTCACAGCATCTTGCTAAGTGAGGTAACAAAGACAAATATTAGTGGTGCCTTTGTTTTCCTGTTTATGCAAATGGCTGTCTGATATGGGAAGCATGGAGTATAACTGACAGTGTGTAGAGTAGAAATACGTGGGGAGGATATGTAGCTCAGTGATAGAGCATTTGCTTAGAAGGTGCAAAGTCCTGGGTTCCAGGCCTAACTGAAGAGCAAAAAGAAAATACATAACATCCAAGCTGCTTTCTAGATTGTAGAATTTATACATGTTTGTATACAAATGAGTTGATGGACCTTTCAGTTGTTCGGGTGCCTTACTGGACTGTGTAGAATACTGTAGAATACAGTAGCCTCTGAGGCCTCCACATTAAGTAACACTTTAATAACACTGCACCTACCAGAAAGATGAGATGTTTTTCTTCTCGTCCTTTCCAGGCATACCCAGAATATCTCATCACGTACCAGATCATGAAGCCAGAAGCTCCTTCACAGACTGCAACAGCTGCAGAGCAGAAGACCTAGTGAATGCTCATCGGTAAAGGCCACATCAGATCCAAATCTGGGACTGGATTGTGTGGATTGTTTCCAACAACAGCAAAAAAAATCAATATTCTTAATCCCTGACAGCCTAGAAATAAGCTGTTTGTCTTTTATAAAGCATTGCTGTCGTGATGAACATAGTATGAGTAACTGATCCATACTCAACTGCTACTGTTCCCTTTGAGGAAATGTTTACAGTGGTGGCCTTTTCACGTATCTCAGGCTCATTTTCATCACAGTTATCCATTTCTAGAGCGAGATCACTTTGATCTAGACTTGGAAATGGAAGAAGAGGAAACATAACCAATACTGTTTCAAACGTTCACCGTTCACACACTACATTTGCTTTGTTAAACGTGGCACGTGTGTATATAGCAAATATATACAGATGCAGGCTCCTTTTTAGTTTTTTTTTTTTTGCAAACGTGCATCATTGGCGCTTTTTTTTATTTTAACTTTTACTTTGAAAATGAGCCAGAACCTTCCTAAGGATATTTTGCACAAAGTCACACTGACTAAAATCACTAACAATGCCACCCCAGTTTCTGGCTGAGCAAGATTCTGTTTCCACTTTTTTGTTATTGTTTGATTTTATATCTGTGCTTCTAGTTTCCATAAATCAAGATGAAAAAGAAAAACATCAAGTTTTAGTTTCCTTTTATGAATTGGCCCATCTCACTAGGGAAGGCACAATCATCAACCTGACTTAGGAGCTCCCAAGGTGAGAGGAGTTGAAGCTGGGAATGGCCACTTGCCCTTTCTAGGATACCCTGGGCCGGGGCAGTCAGGCCAGTCCTGGAAATCCCAGTAGAGCGTGGACTGAGGCGACTGTGACTTCCGTTCCCAGGTGAGGCAGCTAGGGAGCTATTGAAGGAACACCATCAAGAAGGATGAGTGTACGATTCCATTTCACTGCAGTCCAGAAGAGTCAGGGGACTCCTCAGAGAACAAACACTTCCCTTCACATAACCCCTGCCACCAGAACTGTTGCCCCCAAATTAGCTGCCTTATTTCCAAAGTCAGTGGATTAATGTATATCATTAGACTCCCCAAAATATTACTTTATTGTCTTTTTAGTTTAGTATGCTAGGATTCAAGTCCTGTGTAGTAGATAGATGTACACAAATGCAAGAACTTTTTTTACTCCAGATTTGGGTTATTTTGAATGGCATGCTTCAAATAGTTTATTAAGAAATCCCTGCACTAAATTTTTGAAATACTTCTTCAAACTTCTTAATATATTTAGACAAGGAGAACAAAAATGGAAACCAAAGCCCTTTCAGTTATTTTTCTAAATAAAGCTGATAGAGAAATATACTGGGTTTTTTCATGAAAGTACTGCTTGTTTTAATATTTGCCAAGTGCATACAGACACTTAAGAAGAAATTATTTACCACAATTCTTACACTTGCCCTGTTCACCTTACTGAATATTGAATTAAGCATATTACTTCATTTACTTGACATGCTACTATCTCCTCAACTTTGGAACACAAGCAATATAAAATGGTGGAAAAGCGGTGTGACACAAATTTCAAAGTAAAGCCCTGGAAGCTAATTGGGGTTTGGTGGGGTTTTTAATGCAGGCCAATTAAGCTGGGACCTCCTCCAATCTCCAGAAATGAAACAAAATGGTTATTTTTTTCTAAAAATCTAGAAATAGGCTGTCAAAGTACACACCTTTCTTTTTTCTTTCTGCCTTTCTTTCCTTTCTGTTCTTTTTTTATATTTTGGCTTAAGTTCAATGCAGGAACTAGGCATTCACACTAGTTTGTTTGAATTTTATAGCTGAAACTTGCTTGGGCCCTTAAAATTAAATCAAGAATTGGCCTCTGTTGTTGCTTCTATTGAAGTTTCAGTGACCTGAGCTGGGTGTTTTTGTCTTGGTTGTGTGTTTAATAGCACTAGAATTTCATAGAAAGCATCAAAATTTGATATTTGTTGAGGGCCTTTTTCCTTTTTTTTTTTTTCTGTGTGTAACAAAGGATTGAAGAAATTGACATTTTTGTAGCTTTCAGTAGCTGTTAGAGTGTGTGTTATTTTTCCCTCACCCCTGACATAGTTTAAAATGATAAACATAGCTGTAATTTTTAGTTAAGTAAGAGTTAATATGGAATAGATATGGAGAGCTTTATAGCTTCGTTAAAAAGATAAACCACTACCTGACTGTGGTTGGTTATATGTTGTGTTGTTTCCATGGCACTAACTAGATTAATGGATGTGCTAGTTTTGAACTTGGGCGTTACACTTGAGAAGTTAAACTGTGGTTCACTTTTTAAACCACCAGTGTTCCATGTCTGCTGTTCTGTGTGCCAAGTAAAGGTTCTGTCTGTATAAGGAAGACATTTGCCGTGCTTCTGGTCTTATAACGCTTCAGCTGTAGTGTAGGTCTTGAGAGAATGTGTATATATTATCTGCTAAAGAGAGGAGGTTAATGGATATATCATAGGAACCAAAAGCATTTTTTTTCAGAACTTGAAAACCAAAGGTCATGATGAATATATTCAAAAGTTAGCAAAAGTTAATTACATCTGGAATTTCCATCTACAGCAATGTGAAGAACCATCTAGAATCATAAATCATGACATTAAATTAGGCTGGAATCTGTTTCTGGACGTTACACTATATGGCGACACTAGTAAGTTTGGGACTCACCTGAAATGGCCTCTCTGCTTCCCAAACCACCTGGTAAAAAGAACCAGATGAGCCAGGGATTTAGTTCAGTGGTTCCATCGCCTGCCTCGCAAGCACAAGGTTCTGAGTTCGATCCCAGTACCAAAAAGAAAAAAAAAGAGGAAAGAACCAGACATCTCCACAGCTTTATCTCTAAATCAGAAGGCTTCTCCAGACCTGAGGGTTCATTTCACCTGTGACCAACTGGATACTTAACTCAGGCGTGAAGTAAGTGCTCTGGACACTTTTCTCCTTGTGTTTGACCTTTACTTTTCCCCAGATTGTTAGTCTAGAATAAAAATAGCTTCAACAGTTACCTTTGACCCCACCATTTTCCTTCTTTCTTCATCTTAAGTCATTTAGAAAGAATATAGGTACCTCTCCATTTTCAAATCGCCACCAGAAGTGGATTTAGGCCTCATCCGTTCTCTGCTCAGAAGATTCTGCCACTTGGTCAACAAATGACATCATGGAACCAAGAGTTTTTATTCTATGCAAAATAATAGCAGCACACCCAAGATTCTTATTTGCTTTTCTTTCTTGGCATTTAGAATGTCTAGCTGTTCAAGCAACTTAAGTAGAATAAACAATATTAGGATGTTTCATGAAATAGCATCCTTGTACTCATTTGAGGTTGATGTTAAAAGCTAGACTAATTTTCTTTGCTTTCAAAATAGCAAAGTGCATTGAAATATGCACAAAACACCTGAATATGGCAAGCAAAGTCATACAGATTAACATTTTATTATTGTAGGAATTATACAAAAAACAACGTTTGTTAATGCTGGAAAACAGCATTCAAATGCAATAAGTTGTCTAGATTTCTCTGTATTTCAGTGTTTCCCAGTTGCATGAAGAGTCATTGGGTATCGCTTCCTCCCTGGAAACGCGTGCACTATTGGGACTCCTGTAGATGACCTCACAAACAGAAACACCTTTCCTCCAGCACATCCAGATCTTATGTGTGTGATGTCGGATAAGCAGCCTTCTTACTGGGTTTTCTGGTAGGCTCATTGTCTTGCGCAGAGCTATAGACTTTAGTCATTCAGCAGATATCCAAAGTTGACATTAAAATAGGGTTCATGTACCTGAAATTAAGTTTTTTTAATGTCAAATAAATGACAGAGAAATGAAAGTAGTATTTGAACTATTGTTAGACACATCTAGCATATTAAAAGGAAATCTGTTCAAAATATACCACCTGGAAACCCTTTGCAGGCTATTTGAGCATACTGCAATTGATAGTTAAAATTTTTCAGTTTAAGCAAGCCTTAACTATGGCAGAAACTTTTTAACCTTTTATATTCTAATAAATGAAACGTTGTGATTCTATTTCTTAGTGTTTGGAAGGTGTCAGTGAGTTGGCATGTCTCCGTGTATTTTCATACTTGTTAAGCTTATATTGTGAGGGTATATTTCATAAATTACACTCCCTCACTTACAACAGAATTGATGTAATCAATCCGTTCCAATTTCTCCATATCTGAAATAGCTCAGCAACAATATTTTTGTTGGGAAAATTGTTGAGAACAATCTCAAAGCCTGTAAAGTTGTGTGTGTGTGTGGATTCAGTAACTGTGATACTGTGTAGAATGTGAGTGCTATGCAAGCTGTTTTTAATCATTTTAAATTAAACATTTTGAGGTATTAAAGTGAGAATTTGTAGGAAGCTGAAGATTTTATGTACTCTAAGGCCAGACGCAGTCATGTGTGACGCTTTACACTTCTCCCCCGGGTTCCACCTCCTGTGAAATAACCTTCGCGTTGTGAAGACATCACATCTTGACTCCTCACTCTTTCCCCTTTTCTTTTCTACTTTACACTGCACATCTCCACAGTCCCTACCACCATCCTTTCAGAGAGTTTTCTCTCATCCTCCAGAATTCAGATGGCTTTATTTTATCTGTGTGTCCATATCTGTAAGCAATCCTGAAGCCCTTTGTCAATTCAGAGAAAAGCTGTAAACCCTGGTAGCAGGGAAGTCCCCTCACACACCGTCCTCCTCGTCCCAGAGTGCCGGAGGAAGAGCTAGGAAACACCAGTGAAAAAGAAGTTAGAAAGCAACCAAAATCTTTGAGGCTGATAGCTTAGACCTAGGAGATGACCTAGACCATACAGTCATCGTATTCAGTACAGTAAACAAACTCTTCACGGGCATATAGTACCTGCTTCTCCCATTGCTGTAAGCTCGTCCTATCTTTTTGGTAGTGTTTTCACTTTAATACCTACAAAACTAAAAAGGTACTTTGATAAACAAAATTTCTCAAAACATTTTACAAAACCAACTTTGAGGAATCTAGAATGTTTTCTGGCAACATCATTTGGAATAGTAATTGTATTTTCTCATTGTGATGTTAGTCTGTGTAAGTAACCAGTGTAGTGAGACTCTTTGGTTTGTTACTGATTTTATTTTTATTCTCTGTGTGACCCACCAGTGTCAGCGGGTTCCAACCTCTGTGTCTTTCCTTTTTGCATTTGTTTTTAAGACCGTCGGATAATGATGCCCAGTTAAATTTGAATTTTAGACAAGCAGTTTCGCAGCCTAAGTTTGTTTCCTACAACATTTGATATTCGTACAAAGTGTTCATCATCTGAAATTAAAGTTTAACTGAGCATCTTGATTTTTTTTTTTCACTTTGTTTTGTTTTTCTCCATCTGGCAAATCTACTGATTTGGTCACAGAAAGTCATTTGCATCTCGTAAATTCTTCTGGTCTTCATTATTTTTCACTTGGAATGGAAGCTCCTTTTTTCCACTCTGCTTATTTCCAAAAGAGGGCATCAGTGAACTCTGACCTGCCTCCGTGGTGGGTTTCTATTTAAAACATCTTTGTGATTATATTTAACCTGTAATTGTGCTTTGGCTTAATGTCTAACTTACAGTACTTGTAATTGATTAATATTCAATAAAACATTTTTAAAGTACAGTGTGGGCTAGCAGTTAGCTCTTTAGAGTCTTCATTTTGCCCCATGTGTTCGTTTCATCCAGACCAGCCTCAACATGACTGCCCTAAAACTTAGAATTCACGTAACAGCCCTCCTCCCTTTTCCTCATGAGGTCCAGGTTTGAAGTGTTTCTTCCTCGCCTCTGAGTGGTGAGCAGAAGTGGACCAGAGGCAGCAGAAACAGAAGCAGAGCAGGTGCCATTTAGAAAATGGCTCTAAAACGGGCCATGGGCTCTGGAGTCACTCAGGTTCCCAAGGGCAGCTCATAGGCCAGCCAGCATCACTGCCCAGAGACTCATGCTGTCCCCTCTCTGATTGGAGGAGAGAGAGAATCCACTAGCATAGTGTCTGCCCAGAGAACAAAGGACACTTTTCCATTTCTACCCTTTTCCTTTCCCCACACCCAGTGATCCATTACATAACAAATTCAGAGCTAGAATTTTAGCAAGAACTTCTTTACCAGAGGATTGTCAGAGTCAATAAAAGACCTAGCAACTAAGTATTTGTAAGCATTCAGTAACCCTGCAGATAATGGTAGCTGTCATCAAGTTCATGAGGTGAGTTAGGTGCATTGTCTACACTGTCACCAATAATCCCAACGACCCTACAAATCGGTCTTTTAATCCCCGTTCTACAGATAAACAAACGAAGTGGTGAAATAATTTGTATCAGAACCCTTTCCACTGTATGACTGAGTACCAGTTACTATGTACTAATCCCTGACTGTATAGAGTTGTGCTGTGTAAGTAAAGATGAAGAGTTGACACCCTTGTGTCGTTTTTGTAATCAGTGATCGCAAGAAGATCAGATCATAGCCGGGTGTGGTGGCACACGCCTGTAATCCCAGCACTGGAGAGGCTGAGGCAGGAGGATCGCTGTGAGTTCAAGACGAGCCTGGGCTACATAGTGAGTTCCAGTTCAGTCTCAACTACACAGTGAGACCCTGTCTCCAAAAAAAAAGAAATATATATATATATATATATCTCACATGGTAAAAGCTGTTAGACTTCATTGCTCCGCTTTAGCTCGTTATGTATCTGAGTTGTGCACAAAAACCAAATGGGATATAAGATAACAGCCTAGAATTTCAACAACTTGGTTTGCTGTGTGATACAGGACCATCCCTGTTTTTGTAGTCTGAACCACTCACTGCACCTTGATGAAGGGGGAGGAGGGGTTATAAGTCACTTGCACCTGAATTTATTTTATAAAGGAAATTACTTGGAAGAAAAATCTTAACATAAAAGGGTGTATGTTTCTCAAGCAGCAGTGTTTGAAGAGCTATTATGTTATAATTTCGATGCCTATGATGCTTGGTGATGTGACCCAGTGACTCGGGTGAGAGGCAGTCTGTCCTCTTTATAGGTAGCACTTGCAAACCTTTATCATTTAGCTTGGTTCACTTTTCCTTATTTTATCATCAAAAGATGATACAAAAGGTATCCATGCTAAAAGGAAGGTCTCCAGTGCTACATTGGACGTAAGAGATAGGTCATTGTCTCCCATCAAATTGTGACCTGCCAGGTTTTTTGGTTGGCATCTACTCTGAAAGTCTACCAGCGATTGTGAACCTTTTATAGCTTTTAGTGATACAACAGCTCGCTGTGGCACATATGCCATAGGTTCATCGCTACTGGCTTAGGCACAGAAAAATCAGAATACTTTCCACTGGGGCAGGGTATACATCTTCATTTTGACCAATTTCTACCTATCATATAGTGCTGATAAAATAGCTTCAAATAAGACAATAGTCAGTGCTTATTTTATTAATACAATTCTTGACAGTTTTTTTCCTAAATTACAGGTGATACATGAAGTAATAAGTCGATTCATCCCTACTTTCATAATTCTGCTTACAAATCAGCCAAGTTTAGAGCATAAAGTACAAAGTATCCATGGATAAGAGTCATTGGGAGCATGTAGAGGCTGAAGTTCAGTGTCTTGCTCTGGATGATGGTTCTATGATATAAGTGTGTACTTGCACGCAATTCACTGAGCTCTAACAATTTGCACATTTGAAATTTTTGTCTCAGTTTAAAAAAAATAAAGGGCAGGGATCTAAAAAGTTGCTCAGAAGCCCTAAATGTGTGAGTGAGGCCTGACAGTTCTGACCTCATTGGACTGTTGGTGGGAATCTCCTGATGTTCATATGTTTTGGAACCTTTTGACAGGTTATTTGGTGGATAGCCACAGTCTAAAGTTTCTGTGGAGAGGCAAAAGACCCAGAAAAGCAACAGAGTTTTAAAGGAGAAAACAAAGTTGGGATGTTGACCCTACCCAACTGAAAGACTTGCTAAAAAGAGACAGTAATCGTGACAGTATGGCATTGGTGGAAGGATACTCATATTTGATCATTGGAAGATTTATTTCTGGGAGGGCTCAGAGATAAACCCACACAAATATAATTAGCTGATCTTTTAACAAAGGAGCACAGGTGATACAATGGAAGAAAAATACTGTTTTCAAATGGTGCTGGATATCTACCTGACGAATCTACATTCAAACGACAAAAAAAAAGAACTTGTGCACTTAAAAAAAAATTAACTGAAACTAGATCGTAGGCCTAAGTGCAAAACAAAGCTGAAACCCCTAGAAAGTAATAGAAAAATGAAGGTGACCTTTGGAGAGGCAAAGAGCTTTTTTAGATATAAATTAGTGGGTACTTCATACCCTCACCTCCACTTCCTCCTTTCATGGTGCTTTTGCAGCTTTCTACTTTCCTGTATTTCTTTGGGGATGAGTTTGTCTTGTGAAGTCTCTGGGTCAGACAGAGTCAGTGTATAATAAGTAGGCATCATGCATGGGTGGCTGAAAACTCGGGTGCAAATCTGGACTCTTCCACCAAGCACCTGTGATCCTGGCCAAGTTATTTAATCTTCCTTTGCCTCACTCTCCTCACCTATAAAATGGAGATAGCGTTGGGATGGTGAGTTAATATAAAGCACTTAGAGTGCCCTTGATTAGTATTAGCTATTTTTTTTTATCTTGCAGGCCTACTCAGGGAAGGGGTGATAGGTGCCTGTACTGCTCCATTGAGCTTGGTGACACACGAACTCAGTAGGAAATAAGACTGTAGTTGATCAGTAGCAATGTCTGTTGTGGGAGAGGGAGTAATCAGCAGCAGCATGAATGCCATATGCGACCACCCCAATATGGAGATAGAGCTGAATCCTGATTTCCTCCATTTGATGCACTTTTCTTGTGCTACAGGACAAAATCAAGGCAAGGTCCTTGGCATCAACAGGTAGGGCACACCCAGATCCATCTGGGAACTTTTAAAGACCACCTCAAGGTACCAAAACTCATCAGGAGTTTTGGTTCTTGGTTGATATCTCTGATGATAAGGATCTGTGGATTAAGGGTAAAAATTGCACATTTTCAAGTTTTCTAAATAACTCTGTTAGCATGGTGGTTCTTTTTTAAAATGGCTACAAAATGTAGGGTCACCTCTCATAGGAATCAGAGGAAGCTTAGAGCTCTTCCATATAGTAAAGAGCAGGTACACCCAGGGACTTTTGGAGATGAGGTGATAAGGGAGTAACTTCGTTATGTTTGCTGGAATGCTCATTCTGAGCTGTCGCGTGAGAAATCTCAACACCCTGAGACCACCATGCTGCAGAGAGCACTAACAAGTGAGTTTAAGTCACCTGGCACAACTGAACTGTCCACCGGCCAGCACCAACTGCCAGGCAGAGTTTGGAGCCAACTAACTGGCAACTTCATAAACAATTGTTAGTTTATAGAACTAAATTCTTGGATATATTCAGTGGTAGTAGTTATGGTTTGTGGATTGTCTTGCCGGGAGAGGTCACAAGGGAAAGGGAACAGGATAAACAGGCAGTTCTGGATTGAGCTATGAGTGTACAGCTTCTCTTACATGGACGTACATGGACCCATGAATGTCTGTTTTAAGAAATAACCGGTAAACAATGTTATTCTGTCACAACAGTGGTACTGTACAGAAGGACTTGTCTCTCCCCTCTTGCCACGGTGTAAATGTGTCCCCGCAAGTTCATACTTTAGAAATGTAAGTAGAGCCTTGGCCCTCAGGAATTGTTTGAATGTCCTCTTTGCATGTGGGCTTATTATAAAAGTGAAGTTTATCCCCCTCCTCTTTGAGACAGGGTCTGTGTACTTCCAGCTGGCTTGTAGCATAGGTTGGCCTCGAACTCA